ATGATGTTGATATGTTGATATAAAATATGACTGAAGAAATATGTAGGTTCCATAATATAGGCAATAACAATAATAAGTAATCAATTATATACTTATATAATTATAATTTTCTAAATACATACAATGATCTGTTGTTTAAAATATCAACTGGTACTTTATTACATTATATTATATATCTGTGCACTATCTTGATGAATCTTACATTATGCTGTTTCATATTTTGAGATTGATTTTGAGTTTGTGAAAGCTAGTGTTAATTTTGTGCCTACATATTTTTCAAAAATTTAATGGAGACTGCGCTAACTGAAAATTTCTTAATACTTGCGTAAATGTAGTTGATGTATTAAAAATAGCTACTCTTAGTAAACTACAATAGTTACTTACGTCATAAATATTCTACTTAAATATTAATTTAAATAAACTAATAGTTGTTTTTATTAAATATTTTGATATGTTAATCGTTTATTTTACATAAATGTAGTAGGTATATGTTTTTCTGTCATCGTTACTAAATAACTTTAGTTAATTAAATAAATGTATTTAAAATTTTTTCTAATTATATTAAAATATAATAAATTATGTATAACAAACATTAAATTCTTTAAATTAATATTATGTTTATAATCTTGATTGATACTTATTATATTATTATATAATTTTTAACAAATTTTGTAAGTATTTTTAAATATATTTTTAAGTCAAATTCTTTGTTCAACCCTTATTATAGACTTAAAAATACTATAGATGTTTGAATTAAATAACTATATGAGTCTTACATTTATTTATTTCATTCAATTTGTCAAATATCCAAATTATTATTATTATTATTATTATTTTAAGAATACAAACTATTTATATCTACACAATATGTTTACCTATCTATCATTTTATTATTAGTAAAATAGTAATTATAGTTCAAATAATATATACCTAAATAATTCAAAATCTGTGTTTATTTTTCATTAGTTTTTGTATTTAATTTTAATTTTTTTAAACAGTATAAAATGATGTTTTGATTTATGTGGTAACATTTTTACGCTATCCTAAGTGATAATAAATCAGATTTATTATATAGGTTAAAGATAAATGACTCCTATTTAGGTTACGACCTCATAATCCCTATAGGTCCCACATACTGGCCATTTGCCTAAATGATTTTTAAATTCATCAAGCAGTGCCAAAAATAATAATTATCAAAAATGTAAAAATAGAATCAATTTATTAATAATTAGTTTTTATCAAATCATAGTGGTAAAATATATTTTTAATAAATTTAAAATTAAAAAATACATTGAGTTGGCAAGTTAAAATCAGTGATACTATCTATTATTGTCAAACTCAAACATTGAATATAAATAATATAATATTATTAAAACTATATCTTCCAAGATAAATAATAAGTTATGTCTATTAATATACCTACTGATTTTAATATTAATAGATTAGATTATTATACTATTATCGTATGTAATGTTTTATCTGCTTCGTACTTAAGGGATTCGATAATTTTAATGAGTTTTAATGAACCATCATTACAGCTAGTACACGCATATTATATAAAGTTACTATGTAATCATAAGTATACGTTAAAATAGAAATATTAATATTATCAAAAATTATTAGTTTATCCTCTATCTTATTTATTCTACAATTAAGTTATATTACTTAATTTTTGTTTTGTATTTTTATATCTTCATTTTTATTTTCCATAAATATTTAATATCTTGTAACTACATTTAAATTCAATGTTTCAACTGTCAAAATTAATTGTACCTGATACTTAATAATAATAGGAAAATACATTTATTATTGTTATAAGATTTTATCTCAGGTCTCATTAGTTATAAAAAATTTCGTTAAAGTAATAAAAATTCTTGTACAGAAAACTCTAGCTAGTACCTTAAGATTTAATAATTAAATAGTTAATTTTAAGGCAGTTCAAAAACTATTCAAAAGTCGGATAAATTTATAGGTTTTAAAACAATCGATATCTATTATAGAGTATTTCTTTTTTAGTTGTAACTAATTTGAGTAATGATAATACAATAAAAAAATAATACATAAGTATTTTAAGTATTAATTGGACAAAGGAAACAATTTTTGGAATAAGAATATTATATATAATTTATACAGATAAATGCACTAATAAATTAATATAATGAAGGGAAAAAGTGTAAGAAATATATAAATTTGAGTTACATTATTAAGAAGCCGCACATTAGCGACACTTAAAATAAATAAATTATTAAGATTAAAAACAAATTAAATGAAACTCGTATAGAAATTGAAGTAGTAGTGTAGTTTGAATAATTTTTCTAGCTGATCATGTATTTTTAACAAGTGTATGGCTTTTTGGAAAAATTTTACACCTAAATTGTACGTAAAATCTCTAATAAAAAAATAAATACTCTTAATCTTTTTCACTAACAACTCACGCATTATATACCATATTATACTTGATATAATTAAACATAAAAATGTAATATGATTAAAAGCTTTTAACCAAAGTAAATATTGTTGACTTAAAAATGCTAAATTATGGTATTTTCATGATAGTAAACTATAATTATTATTTCTTATACCTAATATTTTAAGAAAATCAAATAACTTATAGCTTATAACATAATTTATGCAAAAATCACAAATTGTATCTAATACTCTGTCATATTAATCATTTTTATTTGAATTTAAGTAATCATATTTACTCTTGTGTCTTTATTATCTTCCTATTTGATGGTTTTTAATTTATTTTTATCCATCCTCTCTATCATACTTTGCACAAAAATATAATATTATTATTTATTATGAATAATGATACAATATTTTAATTTATTTATTAGGTTATCCCGTAATATTGTTCATTTAAAATATTACTATTGGCTTTTTAATTCATTAACACTTCCACCATATGTAATTACTATAATTATAATTCAGATGTTTATATTCAGAATATATGATTAATTTGTATCAAACATTAATGGTTAATGACACTCTTAAACATAGAATAGCCGATAGAATGTACAACCGGAAGTTAATTATTTGTTTATTTATCGTTATTATTATTTTTTTGTATAGCTATGAAAGAATAGTTTATTGTAATAGTTGTTTTAATTTTATCATTGAACTGCATAAACACTTTGACCTTGATATATAAATTATTATTATTATATAGGCAATGGTACCCAGAAATAATAACAATTATTTCAATTACTTTAAATGTCAAAAAGTAATAATACAAAATATAACAAACAACGGTAAATAAGAACATATAGAAATGTCAAAATATGGTATTTTTTTTTCGTTTAATACAGTATTATACCGTATAGAACTTTGTTGTACCTTAAATTATTGGAAATTCAACAAGTTATAAAACTATTTTTAATCATGAAATATGAATCATTTTAAAAATAATAAATTGAAAAATGGCTAAAAGGTCAGAAAGTATTAAAAAAATACATAATATAAGAATTATTTTAGACCAAATTCAACAAATTAATATTTAGTTATGCTATCAATTATGATGTACTGTGTACCATAATTTCAAATAATTAGTGACTAGAAATGATTTAAATTTAAAATACTTTTATTACAATTAATATTTCATAATAAATTATATTATTAAAATATCAAATAAATTGTCTTAATATCTTTATAAATAAATTAGGATTTAATCGAGCTACCTTATTTTTTGTCAATCGACATATACATTTACCTACTAACTTTTTTGTTCCACATTTTTTACTTCTTGTAAAAAGTACTTATATTTAATATCAGAAAAATAGTAAAAATGTATTTTATTTTAAAAAAAGTTTAAATAGATAAAGATATTAAAATATCTGTTTTTATATTAAATTTTTAAATATAAATAATTCGAAAACCATAATTAATATTTACATACTAATTCATTGTATCTACATTTACAATATTAAAATAGTACAAATTTAAAATAATTTCTTTCACATGAATACTAAATAAACATGTTACAATTATAAATAATAAAAATATTATTTATGATTATAATAACTAAAAATAACACCTTATTTTGTTTTTATACTGTATGTATAAAATAATTTAATACTTTATGTTTAATAGTTCAATACCTACCTTGTATAATACAGTTTTTATCCCTGTATAATACAACTTCACATCTTTATAGGTACATATATAGCCATATAGGTCCACTGTAGCCTGTATTCAACATATTTTAACCTCCCTGTGTCATTTCAGATATCTTTCTGGTTTCTATCATCAACGACACCAACCTACTTCTGAGCACTACGTAATAATATCATATAGACAACTATATTATATATTTTCTCTTGTATTATCGATTTATTTCTATAATACATATAAATATCAAGTAATAACATATAATTATATTTGTCTAAGTACATTGTACATGGATATTAATTCATCTTTCGCCGTATACTTCAACAATTTATAAGTAGCTATGCGCTAATACCTATACAATAAAATTATTCCAGCTTTACGTTGAAATGACCAATAATATAATAATATGTTCAGTTTGTAGAATTGTAGTTATAAAGTAAATTGATAAATTCATTGATCATTAATGATTATTCAGAATAGTCCAGATTGTAAACATTTATATATTATATTATTGTTGAATTGCATGCTACTAGACGATCGAAAATACGATTTTTTTATGGATATAATTAAAATTAAGCAAAAACTATTAAAATGTAATAAATTGCTATTTTTAAAACTTTCATGCGTATAATATTATAATTCTATCACTAATGCTTGAGTTTTAAATACCGAGTAATAGTAGTTAAGTAGCAATATTATTATAAGTTATATTGTAAAATAATTGTCTCTCGTCTATTTAATTAAAACTATATACTATACAATATTTAAATTAAAGTCTTAGGATTTTATTACAGCTTAAAGTTCGTTTAAATAATCATCATACAATTAATAAAAACATAAACTTCAAATAATTTTAAAATTATTACTTATTTAATTTAATATTGTGCAAAAAAAAAATAAGCCATAATACATTCGTGCCAATAATTATAATATATTTTTGAACTAAAAAATACGATATGCGCCGCCTCGGTAGTCACCTGCATTAGTATAGGGTGTTGCAGCGGCACCATCACAATTGTACATCGCGTTGACTTTTCGCAAGTCATTGACTGTAGCTCCGGCTCTCTGTCCCAAACTCATACTTGGTTCATGCTTGGAAAAAAAAAGTAATTTGCTATAGCACATTCCACTTATAGGTACTATATAAAAATAAATATTTCATAGTTCAATGACAGCAACAACACCACCTACTACTATACACTAAAATGCCTAGTATTTCAGTCCGCGTAATATCATTAGTTACACTATAAGTCTATAACTATATAATATAAATAATATGTAATAATAAATATTGTATAAATACCATTTGTTATTGATGAATATGTTATTACTACATTTGAAAATATGACTAAAATCTAAACGAATTGAATATAAAAATAGTATTTGTCAATCTTTTTCGAATAAAATCTGTATTATCATTTAAGCTTTTTGTTCTAATTGAAACAGATGGTATAATATAGAATTTTGTAAAAAAAAATGTTTATTAAATTGTTAAAACTTAATAAAATAAAATATTTGATTTCAAAAATTTTAAAATTTTTCATAACAACTAAATATATTATAGATATGAAAGTAAGTCTCAGTTATAAATTTACTTGTGGCATTTTTGCTTTTTTAATACTTTGTGTTAAATTTTAAAATTGACTTAGACTTAAATCTAATTATAGAACTCATTTAGTATATTTCCCGAGAACAGCAACACAAAATTATTAGTTTTTTTTTTTTTTTTTTAATTAATGAAAATAAACTTCTGTCGCAATTTAGTAAATACACACGACAGCTAGCTATGTGCAATCCGATTTAAGTGCTAGATAATTTAATTTTAGAATTAAATATTACCTAAAGGATAATCCTTTATTTAAATTAATTTGTTATAAAAATTCTATAAAATCAACGAGTTTATTTGAATAATATTAACATAAAATTTACTTGGTTAAATAAAAAAGGGTATTATAATTTTAAAGTAATTTACGAAATTTAATAAACTGAATTATTTTTATAAAAAAATTTTAGGTACGTACTTAAGATTTTAAATTAATAAATCTATATGTAACTTCATGACTCGGTTAAATATTATTGAAAACCCGTCAAGAAAATTTATTCAAGACTTGAAACATTCATTAAATTAAATACTTTACAATTATAAAAAATTATTGTTAGTAATAATACTGATAACATTAAATAAGTTTTTGAATTTATATTTATGTATATTTTTAATAATGATAAATATTTCACTATGAAATTCCTACATATTTTAACAAAAAAATATGAAAAGAACACGATATAACTTTATAAAAAATGCTGGTATAATTTCCGCTGGATAGAACTTAAACTTAACAGCATATATTTACTTAACATTTGTAAATATATTATAGTCTCTGCCAAAAATTTAAAATATTTGAAAAGTGTTTTGTAACTGTTTTTATATTAAATACAATTTGTAATTTTAATTTCAAAACTTCAAAAAAATAAAATAAAAGTTTTTCTAACTAAAATTTAAAAAAAATTGTTTAATTATTATTGCAATATGAATACGTATTCATATGATTAAAATTATACATAATATAACGTGATATAAATTATTCAAACACAATAGTTAACAGAGTTTCGTTAAAATTAGATAGATTTGTCATTGCTTTCAAATACAATATAATATTTAAATTTAACACAATAGTTTCACTAGGGGATAACAACACGATGCGGTACGAGATAAGTGCCAAAATTAGTCATAGCATCCTGTCCGTAAATTGATTATGTTATGGTAAATATATTCGCCCTATTAAAACTGTATGCTAACACTCTTATTAAGTTCCATTATTTTTAACTACAATCATTAAATGCTTCTAAAAACATTAAATGTTTAAGTTAGTGTGTTAAGAAACAATCATTTCAAATGTTGTAGTAATAGTTAATTTTTTTTTTTTTTTGATAAAATTCTAATGAAAAATCGAATATTTTTCATACAAAATACCTATTCAATATAATAAATATTTACACTTTAACTCACCTTAGCTACAATGGTTTCTTTACCATTTTTTGAAAAAGCATAACGAGGGTAATGCATTACACTAGTATAATCATAAGGTAGTCCAAAAGTAGTTGTAAGATTATCTGGCACTTTGTTAAAGTCTGGCCAATATGCTAAAAACAAAAACATGATAAACCACATAGGCTAAATACCGCTAGTTGTGTATATTTAAAAAATAAATCGTTATTAAATAAGTTATAAAATAAGGTAGGTAAGTGTTCATTGGATATTAAATAATAAATAATGAATACTGTACTGTCTAAAATTTTATTTTAATTTATAAAGAATTTTATAGAACATTTTTAGAGCTTAGATACCTACAAAAAAAAATGTTTTTAGAAATTTTTAACTACAATATAGTTTGTAATTTTTTGTGATTTTGAAAAATTCCGACAAAATTCTAACTTCAAATGGATACAAAAAAATTGTACCTATTTATTTTTAATATTTTTATACAGATATAAAGATATAAAGAATATACTTTGTGGGATCTTGTTTTAAACTTTTAATTGACATCAAACTAATATACTAAAAAAATGTAATTTCTTATGTCTATAAATAACTAAAATATAATTGAAATAATTTGAAAATTTTATTGTAAATAGAAAACAAATATAATGAGCGTTTTGTGAAAATATCAAGTATCTACGGTTTTTGTTTCTAAATTACATAAAAAAACAAAATTAATTTTTGTTTAAAAATTCCCGTTTTCCTTTGATTTTTGTTTGTTTTTCCCAATTATAAAAATAAGTGCTGGGAATTTTTAAATTTTACTTCTTTCAAGTAAAAACTAGATCCAATTTTAAATCCAAAATTACCGCTATTTTTGAAAACCTAAGCATTTTATCAAAACTTATTGTGTACTCATTACAAAAATAAACAATACACAAAATAAAATCAATACGTTCATCGCTCTACTCAGAATCTAAAATTATATATCATAATATTTTACAGTATAAACTAAGTATTCGTAACTGATTGTAATTATTTGCATTACAGTTTATGTAGATACTCATAGATACTATTTCTATAAATAACTACAGAGTCTCATAACTCAAAGGTTTTGTATTTACCGACAAACTACAAAAAAAAAATAGTATATTATACAGCGCAAACTACAGACGAAGTATTATTTTATACAAATATTATTAAAACCTATCTATATAAAACATACTATTATATATATTCTTCTACTTTAACTACGACGGATGTTTGCATACCGATATATTATATTTGAATGCTTGGGGTTGACTGACTTTTCGGACTTTTGAAAATGAAAAATTAAATAAAAGGGACAATTTGTTTAGTTATAAGTTATAACTAATAGGTATCTGTACTAGAACTTTACGTATAGCCTGGTCCTTTATAAAGAGTATTGGATTTTAATTAAATATTAGATTAGTTTTGAATCGTCCGAAACCACGGTAAATAGTAATAATAATATATTAATCAAGTATTACTGTTGTTTTAATTAAAACTGTTTTTAATGATGTATAATATATATATAACTCGTACATTTAATAAAGGGATGTAGAGTACATAACCATTTGAAACTCATCTCTGACATACATTTTCGTTTTGTAATATAATATTATATACTGAAAGTTCAAATGATGTTTTTCAAATGGACCGTTCCCCACTCAACGAAAAATATCCTGGCTACGGGCCTACAATGATATCGTATTACACATCGTATTACTACACATTCCTCGTATATATATAAATTTAAAATACACACAGAACCCTATTAAATATATCATGTTGTAATGCAATATAAACTCTATATAATATTGTATAATAGGTACACAAAATGATAGCTCAAATACCATTATACCTACCCTTTAAAATTATTGTGTATATATATTATATAAGTAATTGGTATATTATTCATAATCACAATATCTATACAAAGCATTCGTAGTTTTTGACACCCAGCAGCCACTGCCAAGCGGATTACGAAAATTATCACTTTAACGTGTTCAGCCAGAGGTGTGCACAGGAATTTTCAAAGATGAGGAAGTGGTGTTTAAAATAATGTTGGTAGTGAAAATTATTTATCGGCAAATCATATTTTCAATAGAAATAAAATACGAAGAATATTATAATAATTAATAAGTAATAAAAAATATTATGTAATATATATTTTAGTTTATAATTATCTGCTTTATATAATTAATACATTTTAAGGACAAATTTAAGTTTCTAAGGTTTCATAGATACATTGGGAAGATTCAAAGTTTCAAACCTCATTAGTCCCGTACCTGTGCACACCTATGAGCTTAATTGCTAATATATAATAAAATCTTTTAACTTTTTTGATTTTTAAAAATCCGTTGTAAACATTGTTAAAAAAAAAATGTAAAAATAATAATCGATTGAAAAACAATAATTTTAAAATAAATACCCTTGTCAATGTTTTCCCAATAAATGATCACCGCATTGTCACGGTCGGCACGGGCCTGTTCGTGAAGCAGCCCTGCCACGTGCAGGAGTTCGTGTTGCACCGTGCCTTGGTAAGAGATACATGACGGTGCCTCTAAGTTCATGGTGTGCGGGCCACCCATTTCCCGGTGGTATCCTATCATGGCGTTACAGCCTCTGTTCCGCTCACGACCTATATGCACATACTCTGAGTGCCCGACGTCTTTCAGCAGCTGCGTCGCGTTCCCACCATTCTTGTCGACAAATCTCAAGCATGTCTTCGACTCAATCACGTCCATGGCCATCCGGATCTTGGACCGTTCGTCTTGTGCTGCATCAGTGATAGAACACGCAAAAAAAAATCGTAAAGAAAACTATTTTAAAAATAAACCCTCGATCACTCACAATTGTGCCATTTGGACAATATCTGCGGTAAATTAGAGTTGGTGTTTGATGTGGAGACACCAATCGATTTATCAATATCTATATAAGTTAATTCGCTAAAACACTTAATCAATATCAAAAATGTTCGTCCTTTTATAACTTTTTCCCACCTATTCAAGTGTCAAACGTTTCAGATAGCATTCTCACTCGACGATCAATCACATTAATATATCCACTCTATGTACAATTTACACCAAAAATATTAGAGTTAGAGTTCAGTTCTCGCACATACTCAACATAAATTAGCATCTGTCTCTTACCTAAACATTAAAAAGCACATAATATATTGTACAAAAAATTCGCGGAAGTTATGAGTAATTCGATATTTAAAATATTAATTACCTTTAAATAAATTACAATGTCTTTTTCAATATTTTGATTTAAGTTAAAAAATGATTGAAACTATTAATGTTATTATGACGTGACTCATATCAATACAGAAATAGTTTTCAAAAACTTAATTTAAAAAATATTAATTTTGATGAAGATAAAAACACTCTGCGAGGCACTCTACAGCTTAAATACATATTATATATTATAGATATAATATATATCATATACGTAATCTAATAATTAAAATCGAAGTTCTCACTTCTCAGCAATCGTAGTAAAGTATATAATTAAATTTTTAAAATTAAGCTTTAATACTATAAATATTAAATAACGTTAAATTCAAAAGACGAATAGTACATTCGCATTACAATGGGATTATTAAAGGTCCCATTTTTACTAAAACCTAAAAGCTTTTAGAGTAATTTATACTTACTTGTATAAACCAAAAGAAAAAAAAGTACATGCTTGGAACAAAAAATATACTGTACTTAAAATAGTATTCCTATTTTTATTTCATTGATAAACCGATTTTGAGCATCAACGTACAAAATATTCAATGTTTATTTTTTTTTTTTTTTTTTATCATTTAATTTACTTACTAAAATTATAATGGATTGTATAAGGAATTATCGCCTTGGGCCATTTATAGTAATCTGACATAATAGCATTCCTTGAAATTGGCAGTATTATGTCTCCTTGGTATAACTGCGATCTCAATTCTGGATACATATCTGTTAACATAAATAAGACATATACATACAACAGTATGTCCCAAAAAAACCCGTATCTCCATGGAAAATCAAGATATTTAAACTCAGTTTTTTTACAGTACTAAGTATGGAAATTCTAATTGAATGGCATAAAATTCAATATTTTTTTTTAAATTCTAAAACTATCAAAAAAATTTTTTATATATTTAACAATTATACATTTTTAAGATAGCCGTTTTGTTGAACATATTTTTTAAAACTGTTCAAAAAAAAATATTAAAATTGAATAAAAATTGACCAAGTTAGAATAAGTTATTTTTCTAAATAATTATAATAAAAAAAATCAATTATTTTACATTTCAATAATAAAATATCTATTTTAGCATGATAATACTTTTACATACCTAATTAAAGTTTTGATTTGAATAGAAATGAAAATAATTGTGTCTTATCGTTTTCTGAACAACGAAACTGGTTACCTATTTTTAAGTATTTTAGTTATTATGAAGTGAACCTAAATTTACAAAATTCAATATAATCTTACAGTTATAATTAATACGATTTATAATAATAATATCTACGCATATCGCAATTTTGTAAATTATAATTAAAATTATTATCTTGTGTTCTTTCTTTATAGCGATTACTGCTATTAGTGTCATACTACGGTACGTACTGTGTTTTTAGCTATAACTTTTTATTTCTTACTTATTTTGTTCAATATTTAAAATGACTCATATATTCTCAGTACATGAGTACATCGACACGGTGAAATGTTACCTACTTCCGAAACAATTAAAGTCATAGACAAGCTGCTTATAGTTATGGAATTAAGTATCCTGATCGTAAAAACCCATCGTATAATGGATCAAATAGATCTCAGACAAATGTTGATAAAATTATCAACATTCTTGGAAGTGTAGTTATAGCTCCAAAATTATCCGTACGTCATAGGTGCATGGAGGTTAGAGTAAGCAAATCATCCATTCATAGAATATTCAAAAAAATTTAAAATAAAGGCATAGGTATAAAATAAAATTTGTTCAACAGTTTCATGCAGTTGATGAAGAAAGACGTTTACAATTTTGTGAATAGGCGTTATCTGGTACATAGAATTATTTAAGACCCACTATTTATAGATAAATTAGTTTTTATCGATATAACTATTTTTATCAGAAATGAATAAACAAGTAGACACTGGACGTATCATTGATCTGACAAAAACTCACGTGAGTCCATAGAATTGTATGCCCAAAATAAAATATAGTAAAATTAAATGTTTGGAGTGAAATTTGGAATAGACAGATTAATAAACCCTTTTTTATTCAAGGAAATTTAACGGAGAAAAGTATAGAGATTTATTAGAAGAACGTGTGTGGCTAATAATTTCTCAACTAATTAATAAAAATAGAATAGAGCCTATTTTTATCCAAGACAGTGCAACAGCGCATAATTCCAATATTGTAAGAGGTTGGCTCGACGAGCACTTCCCGGGAAGATGGATAGAAACAAAGGGTCCAGTGCTTTGGTCACCAAGGTCTCCCGACTTAACACCAATGGACTTTTTTTTATGAGGTTATTTGAAAAAATATTGTGTACCCGTCGTGTTTATTGCCTGATCACTGTCACAAAATTGAATAAAATATTCAAAAGATCTTACCTGAAACATTAGAAAATATTAAAAACGCTTAGGTCCAAAAACTTTAACTCTGTGTTGCAAATAATGGAGGTCACTTCGAACATTTAAAAAAAAAATGTAATGAATTATTTTCGTTACATAAAGTAATAAAATTTTGTTTTTACTATTAACAATCAAGGTTAAAAATATTATCTGAATTTTAATTTTAATTTTTCCTAAAAGCTCTACTAATAATTAGATATTTACAGATTGCCATAAAAAAAATCATCGTTCCAATCGAGATTGATTAAATCGTGCAATTAGTGTTTTTCTAGGTAACATAACTATTATTATAATTATTCAAAAACATTAATTGATCTAACTTAGTCAATTTTTATTCAATTTTAATGTTTTTTTTTTTTTTAACTGTTTTATAAAGTATGTTCAACAAAATAGCTACCTTAAAAATTTAAAATTCTTAAATTCATAAAAAAATGTTTTGATAATTTTTGAATTTAAAAAAAAAAATTAAATTTTATGCCATTCAATCAAAATTTCCATACTTAGTGCTGTAAAAAAAAAACCTTGTTTAAATATATTGATTTTCCGTAGAGATATTAAGGGTGATGCAATACTTTTGGGACGTAATTTATACATGGAATCCACAAAATACTTTTATTCTATTTTAACTGTATTTAACACATGGTGGGTTGATGGATAAAAAATGATAAGATTAGTTATATTATAATAGTATACTTGAGCGTTCAAAAATATATCATTTTTATAAAAATACTTTAGCACCAATAACAATCGTTTTACCTTCATACAAGACTCAAATGAATACAATTCTTACCTAATATATTGTTTTATAGCTATAAGACTTTCAACTTCCGGTATCAAACTTTTTATAAATTTTTTTGTTTAGCATCATGACTTACCTTGAGTGATTTATATGATATTATTACTACATTTGAAAACATAACTAATATCTATTTGATTTAATTATTAGAGGCGACAAAAAAAAATGTTCAAATACCCTATAGTTTTTATACCACTTGATAAAACTCGAATGTAATTTTTATATAATTGTACAATTTTCTTTACTAACGTTCAGTCAGTGGACTAGTATTATTCAATAAATTCATGATAAGTGTATACCTTTTTTTGTTTTTTCGATCTGCATATCTGTTATACTTGCCATTTTTAGGAGTATTTTATACGTTTTAAGATCTAATAAAATGGCACGCACTTTACATCTGCTATCTCTTTTAAACACATTTATATCTAACAAAAACTGTTATTTTATTATATCCAAACAACATAAATACGATCTATACAAACTATCATAATACCGAGTATACTACAAGAAAATATTAATCCAATATCCTACTACATAAGATTTTTGAACAATTTGTAAATAACTAAACATAATATACATATGTCAATGATGTAACTAGCGAATCGTGAAAATATTAACCACGTGTATATTCATAAATCATAACTCAGAACCATATGTGTAAACTTGATTGTATAGAAATGAGAATAAAAATATTAATACGCGATGTTGATGAGTATTATACTAAGTAATTCATGACGAATAAAAAAAAATTAACAAATATCATCTATTGAATATTTTATTCTTGGTGCACTCGTATACGTTTTTATTGATATTACGTGGAATAGGTGTATCAGAAAAAATGATCTCTATATAATGTAATAACCATAACACATTTTAAATAAAATGATTTTTTTACTTCAAAATGTAGATTTAATCCATAATATATTATATATTTATATATTATGCGTGCATTTCAAAGTATATTTGATTGCTATAATATGATGTATCTGGGTGCGACGTGGGAGCCCATCTATCATTTATTATAATGTTCAATTTACTTCAGTCATTGCTATGCATACGCCATGTTTAAAACGGCTTCTATTGAATCTAGATATTTGCGATCGCAGCCATGTAAAAGTATTGTTCAAATGACAGTTCTATCTGCTGTTGACACTTAGTAAGGGCTCTGTACATACTTCATACACAATAAATACACAAACATAAAATATGTATATCATATATACCAATACATGTGATTTTTCATACTTTGACTTTCCAAATTCCAAGAACAAATTAAGTACGACAATGGGTCCTGTTTTCTAACTTTTTGAATGTACAAACATGTCTGGGACATGTCTGGGAAAAAAAGATCCATCAGCCCTAACAAGTCTTGTAAAATATATAGCTTTTGAACATATTTACACAATACACGACTAATTAATTTCGTTTTGTTCATCTAAATTATGCCTTAATTGTGTTTATGGAGAAAAATGCAAATAACTATACGTATGATATAGATACCCGATATAATAAAATTATGAATAACAACGACAGACAATTATTATCAAAAAATTACAATAACTTACAATAAGTGGAGTTTTACAATTTCATGGAATTCATTCTCTTGAAATATTTAATTAAAATGAAAAATAAAAATTACTTTATATCTGGTGTTCTAATAATTATATACTTTGAACAACAAGAAAACATTTTTTAAAGTACATATTTATTATATGGAACAAAACAAGGATAAATTGTTGGTATGATATACAAAAATGTGTTTATACAATCCTAATTCATAACATCACAATACATTTTAAAATATTAATGGTTTATAATATGCCCTGATATTATTAAATATTGTATTGTTATTTAATAGTTAATTTAGTTTAATTATTACTTTAAGTTATAATATATTTACAAAATTATAGCAGTATTATTAGTAATTAGCTATAATTATTAATATGACTAATTATGCTAATAAAGCTATAAACGTACATTTTACATTACATGAAACTATAGACCTGCATAGGACCGGCGAACTATCGATAAAATCTCTGTAGAACGCTCAAATTAAAAATCGGTTATTAATGATTTGGTCATAATTTAATTGTTTTATAATTATAAATTAGAACAAACATTCGTAGAAAATAGAATTAAATAAAATTATTAAATCGTACAAAGGCTGTAGATGTAATCAAAAATTAGAAATCCTTAAAACTCGGTATATCTTACCTAACCTATGCTGATTGCAATGCATTCAAAATATCTATTTATGCAAATTGCAAACCTTCATACTATCATTACACTCGAAAAGCACATTAACGAAAAAAAATGACCCAATAAATAAGTGATAATTAATTAGTGATAAAATTATGAACTTATAAATTATACCCATTATTATTACAAGCCATTTTTTTTTTTTTTTTTGATTATTTAAAAACTAATAAATTTATTGTAATAAAACCATTATGAATTAATAACGAAAATCTTTGAAAATATATGCCTCTATGATTTTAATATAAAATTATATCTTTATTTCATTATATTTTTCAGATAAGCAACAAATAAATGTATCCAAAGCCGTTTAAATATTATATGGCTAAAAGCTAACAAACTAAGGGGATTTTTGGTTAGACTTAATGGTACCATGTTGTTGCGCAAACATTTCATAAATTTAACGACTCATTAAAATTTAATAGACCAATCATGAATTCATGAGTCACTATTTGATGTGTGAGAGAATCTGTTAAATATTTAAGGAACTATTAAACTCTAATGGACATCTGTGAACCCCGGCATATGCAATAATATGATTGTAAAGATAAAAATGAATTTTGTTTTTATCCTCTAATAAATATAAAATAATAAATAATGTCCACTTTTATCTGTTAATATTATAGCTCAAAGCTTACGTCATTCTTAAACTTGTATTTCATTTTTAAAAGCAAATTACAGTTATAATAACAATCTTAATTAACATAAATATTAAATAAACGGTTTGAGAAATTTTTGATCAATTTTTTATTATAGAATCGACCTATAAATCTTAAATAGTTTTGGATAAACTAATATTTTTTGTAACCATTTTAAATTACTAAATAAAAGTTATTTTAAATAGATGTGCACTGACATAAGAAAGAGGAATTTCAATACAAAAATAATTTAAATAATATTAAACCTTTATATTTTACCCAAAATACGGTTAAATGTTTTAAAATACGTTTTCCGTCCGTCATTTTTCTCTATAAAGATTATCGTGAAAATTCAAAATGATACCACTTATTGTACTACCCATTGAAAATGACACTCTCAATATCTAAAATATTTCAAACTTAGGACACTCAAATGCTCAATCATACTAAAATAATGTCTCATAAACATAAAAAAAAATATATATAAATATTATACTAAATAAATGTATGTATTATATTTGGTTGCAATTTTGTACATGTAATATTTTTATACTAACTACTCGAAGTATTTATTAAATTTAACAAATTTATGTAAAAATTGTATTTATATATTACTTGCTTTATTTATTTTATAAAAAATAAAAACCTCTATCCCATGCACATAAAGATAATATAAAACACTTAAGTTCTCCTCTTCTATCTAACGCTATCTTGCTTTTACCCTTCAACGCTATTGCTGGTCTACGTTATTATAATTCTATATGACATTCCTTTTAGTTGTCTCTATACATCCAACGTTCTTTAATTCCGCCGACTTTGTGTTATAATAAATTGTTATTTCATGTTGTCTTATTTTTATTAAATTGCAATTATTTTTCTAAAACTTTTTATATTCGTCGATGTTAAGGATTATATTATAGTGTTTCAATGAAAAACTCTTAAAAAGTGAATACATACGATGATAAAAAAAGTATTATTTAACGTGAAAGGAAAATGTCCTACGTAAATTCACGCGTATCATAGTTGTAATAAAATATGATACGCACACTAATTGTCAAACTTCAATAAACGTAATTTACACCTGCGGAAGTGTCGGTTAACACTTACGATAACATTATATCTTCATTTTTTACGAAGAGAACAATTTTATGCAGTATAATATAACTGCAAGATATTTTTTCGTCGCTAAGCATCCCTACCGATGGGGAGTGTGATGATGTGATGATGATAACAGCAATTATAAATATATCGCATAATCTTAAGTGGTCTTACCCGGAGTGAAATGAGAAGGCAGTTTCGAATCTTCTTTGAACCTCTCCATGAGCGTGCTGAGGAAATGCTGTCCGTCCTGCAAACCGGCCGCGGAACACAGCAAAATCCTCGCGACCGCACATACGTATATACAATAAAGCGCGGCGTCCGTCATCTCCGCGACGCTTTTTTTATTGCAAAACTATTTCGCCAACCTGATATTAATCGTATTAAATTACCAATATCAATCTTATTCGTATATATTTCAAGATTATTAATATCGAGCGCGTAATACGTTCGACGCGGCTCAAGACTCTGCGGGCTTCAACTCACTCGGCGTAAATAATAACAATACAATTACACAATTTTAATAATCAAATAAATTATACAATAGCACTGCGACAGTTACGCGTACGAGTGCTGGGCAACTAGCGCCTTAGAAGTCGGGCCCCAAGTCCTATATATAGGCGCCAGATAGGTATCGGGCGCGAAAAGTATACCGCAAACACGTTTTATAATAACAACAATACAATCGGTTTTTGATTTTTTCGGCGTATAATATTATACGGCCGTGTGTACGCGAGTGCATTTCCCCGTGTATTTTGCACGGACTATGTGCGTGGGCGAATTATCTAATAATTTCTCCCCATTTCCGTTTCGTCTTGTTTTGTTTTTCCCATACATTATTCGATAGTACTTTATTCCATGCCGATATACTTCATATTATAATATTATAAAAATAAGCATATACATGTAAACTCGACGACAAGCGCTAATAGGGCCCATTATTCATATATCCGTTTCGCCGTCGTCGACGAGGAGGCGCATCACCCTACTGCACGCTGAATTAATTATTATGTAATAAGTATAATATACAGGATGATTCACCAAGCTCCCCATTTTTTACCTTTAATAATAAATTTATTCAAATTCTAATTTTTGGAATTTTTAAATATACTTGTTAAAAGACTATGTTTTAAATTATTTATACTATTTCAGGAGTGTCTTGTGGTGATGCAAACTTAATTTTTTCCAATAAATTGTTAATTAAACAGCTTTTTTGAAATATTACTTGATTTATCAAAATCGACAGTTGGACGAGTAATTTCTGATTTATTAAAATGTGTATAAAACTTAGGATAGGTAATAGATTGATTTAACAAAAAAATAAAAATGAATTATATTAATACCTACTGCCTACCTATTGAATATAGTATTTACTATATACTCGAAAATATTTACAAATCACACAATGTTGATACAGTTGGTAAATTAATTTTTACTAATAAAATGTTCAAATTTTTATAGCCTCCATATCTTCCAAAGCTATTATTCTTAGTACCTACACAAATTAAAGAACTCAAAAACCATCCATTTGAATTTTGCATATCTGATTAACAATAATTTACTAGAAAAGAATTGATTCTCATTAAAGAAATGACATCTCCACAAAATACTCCCAGTTTAAATATTTGAAAATATAGTCCTTAATAATTTCAAAAATTAGAATCAAATAAATACATTATTTAAGTAAAAATGGAGCTGAGCATGCTTAGTGAATTACTCTGTATATATATGCATGTGTTTAACCATTATGTACATAATATAGACATCATCTCGGGTGTTTATAATTTTTTACTACACATAATAATATTAACTGTATGTGTAATACCGATAAAATATAATAATGTGCAGTGCACGGCAATTAGCACGTTTCGTGGTTGACTTTCTTTCTTCGTTTCGCTTTTCAATAAATTATTATTTATTATATTACTCTTACGAAGTGATCAAATTAAATAGCTAACAAAATTCCTAGTCAAATCTTGTGTATTTTCTTATACTATGAGTATGTATAGTTAAAAGTGTTGTTTTATCATACATAAACTACTGCGCACGTCTTTACTATTTTTTATTGAAGTAATATTTTAATTTTTCTCGTGAGAATAGAAGCGTATGTATTGTCAACTTTAATTACACGTAATCAGAAGTAGAACATTTTTCTATGCACATTTCAATATATAGATACTTATAAATGTATAATATTAAATACATTTTTATTATTATTAGTAAGCATTTAAAATTAGACAGATTTTATATATAAGTACAAAAATAACAAAAACGTCAGCAAGAGGAATATACCCAATTAAAATTTTGATTCGCATCGGTACAACATTAAAATTCCAAAGCTGACAAAATTGCAGTGGAATATATTTATAAAATCAGTTTAAACTATATAAAAATGATTTGTTTAAAACGCCGGAATTTGACAAGGAAAATGAATGTAGTTACTTAAATGGAGCACTCTGTGTATTCACGTACAGTACAGGTGGCACGGTGAAAATCACGCGTACAATTGTCGTCGTGGTCGTCTCCGATGAATAATAATATATACCTATACCTACCGACACAATTGATAAGAGCGCCCGTATTCTGTATATTTCCACTCTATTGATTTATATTGTGCTATAGTGAAACAATGTATATTATTGCGGTAGTTCAATAAAAATCAAAGAAGTGCTACAATAAACTGTTTATTTTTTTCATTGAGTTTTTTACTTTGAATATTCCAAAAAAAAAAATCATATCTATGTATAATGGCGCTGAAATTTCTGTAACACGACGTTGATTGAAAAAAGACTGTTAATATACCTATGCATGTCCATATCGTAGAGCGTAAGACGCATCCACAAGAAATACGAGTGTATTTCATATTACAATATTGTAGACTGTAGTATAAATTCTACACGGTCAGTGGTCACATTTCACATTTACCGATCCCGACCCTTCGCGGTTACATTATTCACATTCACACATATTTTGTCCGTACTGTGAGTGTCTTATCGATAATAATTAAAATGTCACCTCTAAAATATATATGTACTATGAAAATCCAAAATAACTAATAGCTACTAATATATTGACATTATACTAATAAAATGTTACAGATTGTGCGGATCTATACTATACTTTTAATGCTCATGACCTAATTATGTACAATAATAAAAAAGCAAATAAATAGATCTTTATTCTTTAAATTATTTATAACCAGTTTTTCATTAATCATTATTATAAAATATTATCTTAATCGACTTGTTGTTGTTATCGAAGTGTGAAAATTAAGATTGAATTTTAAATAATGTTATTCTATTTATGCAACCGTCATAAACATATATGTCCAAACAACCGAAATTGAATATTGCCGTACCTAGTCTGTTATTTTTATATTATGAAGTATACAGGCTGATCCAACCTACCTAATAATTGACGGAATTGACTAAGTCTTTCGATATAAAGCGGGAGTATATATGTATGTATATTAAATATTTTTGGTCAATAATAATTTATATGTTTTAAACACGTCAACTATTGATGAATTTAAGTAATAATAATTTAACTATTCGAGACATAATGGTGGCATGACAATTGAGGGAAAACAGCCACGGTCTAAACTCTGAACATTGATGAGTTTTTATTTTTAACACCATTTTAATTTTCACCTATCTTAAATTGTAAATATGATAAGTACAAATGCATGTAGAAACAAAGTAGCCTATCTGGAAATAAAAATGTTCCAGATGGCCCGGGCTGTACATATTATTATAAGTCCAACACAAGTCTGGTCAAGTAAGTCGGTATACTGTTTTTCATTATCATTGTTTAAAATCCATGTTCTGTTCCCATCACCATTAGTAAATACGATAACGTTTTTCACCATAAAATATTATACTATAAATTCCAAATGCTATATTCAAAATAATACTCTTTATAAGTATTTATCTTAAAAAAATTAATTTTGTAACGGTCCGCTAAATTAATTTATGTAATAATTATGTATTAATTAATGGTAGATATAAATTACACACATTCTAAGCCACTAAGGACAACTATAAATGACCGGCTACGGTCAAGCCAGTGAACATATTTATATGATATTGGTTTTTTTTTTTTTAGATTCTATGTATGTCTCATGCTATGACAAAGTAATCACAAAAAATTTAGGCAAGTAGATAACTGCTGTTTTATTTTTTGAGCTTATATATCGTTCTACTGTACAAATAAGTTTCGAGTGTAGTATGACGAATCACGACAGCTCGATGTCGATAGAAATCACTTTAATGGATGTGTTGAACTTGAATTAAATTCGTCTTTTTATTAAGCTAGAGTTATATTCTTTGTTATTTATTACATTATTTATATATAATTATTACAGTAATGTGTAGATATTTATGCTATATTACATTTATTAATGTTGTTAACTTTTCAGTTATCACTACGTGATTATGTTTATTGATATAGCTATTAAAATAATTTATTTTACTTTAAGTATTATAGTAAATTGTTACAATTTTTCCGAAAAAATTGTATTCATTATATCAATAGTATTTAATGATTATAAAAATATATTTTTATGCTAACTTAATATCAACTTATTATTACACAAAATTTAATAAAACCTTTCTGTAAATACCACAAAATAGTAAAAATAAATTTATAGTAGGTATTTATAAATAAATAGCATTTTAAAATTAATCTAAAATTTTAATGCATTTAGTGAAATTCATAATAATATAAAACATATAAGTATAAAAGTTTAAGTTCCCACGAATAATTTTTTATGTTACGATAAAATATTAAAATAATAAAATTAAAATATCGCTATTTACCGTTCAAATAAATAATTTCGTCCAAATTAGGACTTTAAATACATTTTAAAAAAAAATGTTCGTATATATTTTTAATATTTTTATATACATATAACTATACAAGAATAACTTTTGTAAAATCTCGTATTAAATGTTTAAGAATTTTAATCCAATAAATAAGTACGTCATTATCGACATTTGTAGAAAAAAAAACTAAAAAAATTGAAAATTACTTATGTCTATATGTATTTCAAACTTAGTCCAGATATTTTGAAAAAAAATTATTTCAGTAGGATATAATTAAATTGAATATGTTTTATTACTTCCAATTTTCACCTCCTAATGCACATATTAATTTTTATGAATAATGAGATACCCGAAAAAGGAACCCTCGACGACGGTATAGCTAAATTGCCTACCTAGAACGCCGTGTTATCATAATTTTAGTATGAAATTTGTTTGATATTAAGTAGCAAATTCAATACAATATTATTGAAAAATTCAACAATAAATATATATTTTTTATTTTCTTATAAAATAAATTTTATAAGAAATAAAAATATTTTCTTTTACCTGAGAACTTAATTGAATTTTGTTTTCTTCAAACAAACAATGTTGATTTTAATCAATATCAAAAATATTTCTTAATTAAGTTAAAAGTTTAAACACAAAAGGCAAATTAGTCATTTGATTAACCATCAATGAATCAATTAAATTAACTATTACTTATACAATATTTGTGTTATTTAATTTTTTTAAAATATGAAACTAATTTTTAATACAAATATGTTTCATATACCATAGTATAAATCAGTGTAAAAACAAAAATAGATAATAATGTGTACTTATGTTTCCTTAAGGAATTAATTTACTAAGATACAAAATTTTAACATAATAAAATGTTCCAATTAATCTAATTCACTCTTTAAAAATATCTCTATTAGCAATAACCTATGAAAATACAATATTTATAAATATTTATAAATTGTAAATATATAATAAGTGACCATTGTTTAGATTTATTCATATATTTTTTCCTCTTTAGATTACTATACATGTATTATTAGTCCTTAATAGTTACATAGTTATGTAAAATTTGCTTATATTATACTTAAATTTACCATAATATGTTGAATTCTAATTCTGTGTGAAAATTAATATTTTTCAGTCACACTTTACAATTTACATTATCAAACACAATAGATTAATACCTGAATGCTCCCAAAAAAATAAAATGTAAACCATTGCATTTTGAACACAAAGACAATTTTGTTTAAATTGTACATTCAGACATCTAGTTTTTATATTTTAAGCAAAGGAAAACTAAGAATAGTTGCTGTATATAAAATAATATATTTGCATTATACTATTACAATTTTCATTTAGAAAAATTTAACTAAAAAAATATAATACACAACACTAATACAGTACAATATTATTGATTATTCATTTACAAAACAATAAATCTTTGAGTTCAAAAAGTTTTAATTCAAAATTGCAAGGTGAAATTACAATTTTTAAAAAGACATGTTTTTATTGTATTTAAATAACAATTTTTTTTTTTTTTAATTGTTATCATTAAACCAAATTAAATAAACGATTTAACGTTCAATCGACAAAAAATTTTTAATGTCTGTTAAACTTTCAAATCCAAAAATATTTAACTTTAAAAATTAACCATTTATAGTTGAGATAGATAATATGATTATCATTTAATATTTTTACAGACTTCAACATTTTTTTTATTCTTATGAGATCTTCTAGGACTTTTAGAACGACTTTTTTTACTTTTATGCTTTTTTTTCTTTTTATAAGTATTACTTGACTTAAGTTGTATTGAAGAGTCTTTTTCATTTACTAACTTATTATAATCTGTAAAACTCCTAGAACATTTAACCTTTTCAAGTTCTTTTGACTTAGATCTTTTTTTATGCTTCTTAGATCTCTTGTGTGTATTTTCAATAGATATTGATCGACTTCTGTGCCTTCTAGACTTACTTTCTTTTGATCTAATTTTATGTTTTTTAGATGTTTTATGTTTACTTTCTACATAATCACGTTCTTTGGATTTAGAACGAATTTTAGGTCTTTTAGAATTGGTTTCTTTACATAATGAACGAGACCTAGATCTCCAAGATCTTTTTAATTTTAATTGACCAGTAGATGTTTTTCTTTCTCTTGATATAGATCTATCTTTTCTTGATCTTTTAAAACCAGTTTTATCTTTATAATGAATTTTAGATGTAGAAACTTCTTGATATGAACTCTTTCTCTTCTTTTCATAATACTTAAGTAATTTAGATTCCTCTGTCTTAATATTAAGCCAGCGAGTGTATGGATTACCATTATATTTTCGATTACCTTCATACTTATACATAATACGAGCATTTTTTGCAGTTTCTGTAATGGTATTTGAAGTTGGAACACTCGTCAATTTATCTTCTGAATGAGACAAATTATTTGTTAATCCTTCAATTACTTCTCTTAAAACCTAAATAATCAAAAAAACTAATTGTAATACTAATAACTTAGATATATTTAACTTACTTCTTTATAAGATTTTCTATCAACGTGAACTCTTTTCCCTCGATAAGCAACTCTTCTACGTTTTAAGTCTCTTTGTTCTTGCAAAAGCTCAAGCTCAGTTTTAGGTTTATCACCAGTTTTATTGAAAATATCCAAACTAAAATTAACATGAATAATAATTAATTTAAAAATAATTGAAAAATAATTTATGTATTTTATTTGAAAATTACTCTATATCATTTTTTATATCCTTGTAATTAGACAGTCTGGTGACATTTACAGCACTATCATATAATACTCTCCTCTCATCAGGAGTAAAATCACAAACATAGCGTTCTATACTTTGGGAAACTTCTCTAGGTTCAAGGTTTATATCTAAAATAAAAGTATAATATTTTTTTTTTTTTTAATGATTTTGTAGTAGACATGTAAATTATATTTACAACAAAAATAAACATTAACAAAAAATAACTAATAAATAAATATTCTTTATAAGAGGTTCATTTACCTCAATATAAAAGGATGTATAATAATTTTCTTCAATCAAGATATAAATCCAAATTTTTTGTCAAATTTAAAAAAAAAAAGAACAAATATTTAAAAACAATTGAAATTAGAAGGTAAAATTATTTGTAATTAGAGTAATGATAAAACATTACAATAATTATAATTATCAAGTAGAATGGTTAAAAAGGATATGTTTTTTTTTTTGTAATGTATAATGAAATATTGTAAAATATCTTGTACCAAACACTCTTTTATCATATCTGAAAAAGATTCATTAGCTATAATAAAAATGATTTTGTTGATGTACTCAATAAATAATATTAATATATTTTCCATTTTTACTAACTTAAAGTTGAATTTGATTCGTCGTAGGCAGTTTTCAAAATATGCATTTGAGTAATTTTATCTGTAACAAATTACAATAAGAATTTTCTTTATTAGACATAACAAAATAAAATAATCAAATAATCACTCCTTGAATCATAAAAATAATATTGTTGAATTCATTGCATAGATGAATGTTATAATTTAAAAATAAAAAATTCAATGGAACCATGTGAAAAAAGTACTATTTTTTCACATTTCAAGTAGATGATATGAAGTACAAAAATTTTTAAATTTATCACAAAAAGTACAAATATAATGTACATTTGCTTTTAAGATGTAAATTTATAACTAAAGACCGGATTTTTTTGCAGCTAAAATCTAAAAAATATGCAATTAAAATGTTAAAATGTGCAAAAACGTTCAAAAACAAAATTTTCATTATAGATACTTCAAATTTTAATAAGTAATAACTAATAACTGACTTTACAATATTTGATTAAAATTTATAATCATGTACATTTCCAAGTTTTTTTCTTTAAAATTATATCTTCTGTCACTTAATATATGTTTTGGCATTGTTTGTAGCAGTTTATAATAGCAGGATATTCTTTTAAATCCACATCATTTCCATTTATTGGATTGTTGTACAGTTTTAAAATATTGTATCTGGGATTTTTATCAAATACTGATTTGAATTTTTTATATAGTATTTGTCCCTTTTCATTTTCAATTGTCTTAAGTCCATCTCTTACTGTTTCAACTACATTTATTTGATAATTTAAAGTTGAATTTACTTTGTATTATATTGTTATATATATATATATATATAATTATATTGTTAGATATAAAAGTCTAATACTTTGTATAACAACATAATATAGCACCGATAAAAATAATACAAAAATACAAATATATTTATACAAAAGTACATTTTTATAAAAAAAAAACTCAAAACGTGCAATTTTGTGCAAAACCCCAAAAACATGCAATTTTGTGCTACATAAAACTTTCTTTAAATTAATCTACAACATTTGATTTGGATTTGTAGCTTGTTTCTATTGAATTTAGAACACGCCATAAAAAGATGCAATTGTACGGGAATCCGGTCTTTATAACAATATAAATTAGTGTAATCATTGAGTAAATATTAAAAAACAAAAATTATAGATAAACATACCAATTGTTACAGTCTGAGCTGGAGGTGTTGACAAATTATAAGAAGGATAAAATGAATGAGATGAATCATATCCATTTTTTTTCAATATACATTTTTGACAATGAACCTCGAGTTTGGATGGCGACATTCTGTGTTCACTATTTAATGGACACTTTACAAAATTATTCTGAAAGCAAATTAAGCAACTATTAATAAAGTAAGTACACAAAAATTTATACCTGAGTAAAATAAATTAATCTGAAAGTAAAATTTGATATTTTGTACATTTGTAAAACAGTCACACAACACATGTGGACATAATTATAAGCATGCACAAGAAAGGTGACATATGTGTTAGGGCGCTACACACACATTTGTAATTAAGGCTCTAAAATTTCAATCCCAAAACAAGGACCCTTTATTTAATAATATTTCTTAAATAAACTATAATTTTTTCTAAAATTTGTTGTAGATTCTAAAATATTTTAAATTTACATAGAAAAACTAATTATGATAAACAACTAGATGTAATTAAAAAAAGTACAAATCATAAATAAAAAATGAAACTATTATGGAAATTGGTAATAAATTAAAAAAATATATATAAAGGACCCAAAAATATTATAGACACTCCTAAAATTTAAGTCTGCACATGCTTAATAAAATAAAACAATAAACTTATCATTATTTCTTATTTATATTTTGAGATCTAAAAGTATTTTTCCAATTTCTAGGTTGGAGAAAAAATTTAGAAAACACTTTTCTAAAATAATCTTTTCCTTATTATTAGTAACTAATATACTCTAACTTTTAAGTACTAACACAAATATTAATTACTCATTAAGTATTTGAAAAAAAAAAACTTCATAATAAGCAATAAAATGGTTGGAACTTTATAATTTACTTTTCAAGCGAATTCTATACAATATTATAATAAGCAATTACTATTCATCAAAATTAGAGATCAATAATTAGTGAAGTAATGAATATTTACTTTTATTGGTGTTTTATCCAATGTCCACCCAATATTTTCGACAAAACATTTTAGCGTATTTTTAGTGTCATTAATATAGTTTTCAAATTGTTTCAATGTCTCTTTTCTGCTAAGTAATTCTTCCATTGATAGCTCCATTTTCACTCTTTCTAACAGTTACACCTAATTAACATAACACAAAATTTGACTTAATATATAATATACGATAATAATATTATTAAGATTTACTTATAGTACTTTTATTAATTTAGTAACTGGTAGTTACATTTGTCAGAAGTTACGAGTAGGTACTTAAACAAAATATACTTGGATTTAACTTTTTGATAGTTTATAAAAATCAATTACATTAATTCAAAAAAATTAATAATAATAGTAAGACTATTAAATGTTTAATTTGTCAAATAAGTTAATTCCTCAGTTGTCGCCCAACGCAAAATAATATTATTACTACTATAGTTGTAACACTAATAAGTAATAACTATAAATTATAATACTAACAAAAATATTAACTATTAAGATACACACTATCCATGGTTTAAGATTTCATAAACATGACACTACTATAAATATAAAAGTTACTACAGTACTAAACTAAAACTATTTAGTCAGTAGTCACATCCAACACATCACAACTTGATAAAACATAAGAATTATCAACTAAATTATAATCACAGGAAAAGGCACGAAGCATTCAGAGCACAGACCGCAAACTATTTAATGAACAAAACATGGTAAGTGGTAAATGGTAGTATTTCTAGCGCCCATGTTATCAATATTAACACTGCATACTATCACAATCCTAGTTTACGGGTATAAATGTATAATTAAATATTAATATCGTTTTGAATTTTTGATTGTAAGTGTAACATTTGTAACTACGAAGTATGGACTTCTGATTATTACTATTTTATTTATCTAAGAAATAAAATGGTACGTTAAACTCTGTATTCCTTTTTCCTTCTTTTTATTTTTCTTATTTGTATTAAAACGCTAGGAAATGTGTAATTTATAATATTTATGATAAAAATACCCAATGAAAAATCATTTTATTCATAAATAATAAATCATATTTTAACATTTTCATTCATTTTATTTCAACTTTCCTAAAGATGAAAACCATAAGAAGTTTCGAATTTAAAGTTTGTAGTATTAACACTATTTCTACAATCATTTAGAATTTGTAAGGCTTACTTTTCTGCTGACGATTTTTTTACTGAAGGGATGCTTGAAAAAAATTCTATTTCAGTTTGTAGTACTACACAACCAAAAATATACTCTGTTTCATAATAGAATACAAAAGGCGGTACATAACGACATAGGTAGTGACCAGTGGAAGCGGATAAAAGTGTGCAGTACTGGTGTATTCTAATTTGAGACAAAGTATAAGTACTATAGTGACTAGTGTAGTACTTTAACATTTTGCAAGGCATTAGGTGATTCAAATTTTCAAAATATTAACCCAATTGCTAAATTTTGTTTCATGATATATAATACATTTGACATTTTCAATTGCAAAATTAAGTTCTCCAAAAGTACTAAACTCAAATGTATAAGATAAATACTGAATTTGTCAAAGAGTTTAGGATATTAGATTAAAATTTAGCTGAAACAATAGTAGCAGATTGATAGAACTTGTTAATTCACAAGCTAATTTGTTAAAGTTGTTTACATATCTTTACAATGAATATTCTTTTTCTTATAAAATACCTCAGGATCACATTGAGACATTTTTTAGTTCAATTAGGCAGAGAGATGGATTCAACAAAAACATATATTACCTAATTCAATTAGAAAAAAATGTACAAAGCCAATTTTAACCAAACACAAATAATAGATAGCAAATAATTATTTTTACTTAACTTATCTTTATAAATTGTATTTATTTTGTTAAAAACTTCTTTATCATTTTTTTTTTTTTGTTAAGACGAAAATTCTAATTTCTTTTAAACTAAGTATTTGTAAATAAATTAAGTATAAAACCTATTATTATTTATTACTTATTTTTAGATTAACTTTGAAGTATTAAATCATTTAAAATTATTTAAGCTACACTACATAAATTGTAAAATTAATTATTTTACTTCAGTAGGTACATCATGTTATAATACAATTATTTTTTTTTTAACATTTTACTGGTAGTCTTTTTATTTCGACTAAATAGTAAATTTTTTAACTATTATCAGAATTCAGAACTCAAATAAAAATAATATACACTCATAGAGTAACAGTTAGTGTTTTTTTTTTTATTTTTTGTTATAGTTACTCTATATTATATAAGTAAATATATTAGATACAAAATTGTTTCGATATATGGTGTGTACACTATACAATAGGGTACTGCTATCAGCGTGCATGCTGCATGGTGGTTTAACTCGTTGAGTAATGGTTTAACCGTGGGCTAAATCAAATCGTGATATATGGACTGTCATCGAAACAATTTTTTATTTTAGTGGAGTACCTACACAGAGTATGTAGTGGAGAATGACTATTTAATAACCTTATAGGTACCAAAAATTAATTTGACTTTCTAGTAACATTTTTTTTATATCTACATAGCTTAAAAATTTTACCAAGAATTTAGTATTTAACTTTCAAATCACATGTAGGTATAGAAAAAAAAAATTATCTTAAATAATTTATACTTTTTTGAAAAAATGTTGTTAGAATTTTCACTTAAAAAATAATAAAAAAAATAATACATATACTTCGACATTTTTTAATTGAGGAATTAACAAAAAAAAAAAAAATGTTTATTTTGACCACTCTAAATTACTAACTACATCCAATCATTGTTATCTAAACCCTCGACGTCAAAAACCTAATCATTTTATTGAGTATTGACTATTTATCGTGTACATACCTACAGAAAAAATATGACCATTTTTTATTTAGAGGAATGTAAATTTACATAGATTTATAAATGTTTTTTAAAAGAATAATGTTGTCATGATAATAAAAAAGTGTATTGTACATATTTTTAATATAATGTAGATATACAAATAGTAATCGTTGAAAACAAGATGAAAATTATAATCATTTTATTACTGTCAATTAAAAAAACATTATCTGAACTTAATTCTACTAATAACATCGACAAAGGACTTATAGCTAATGGTGAAATATATGATCCTTCCGAATTTCCATACGTAGTGACTATACATTCATATTCTCCGGACTTGAAGACTTATTCGCTTTGTACCGGCACATTGATAAAAGAATTGTACGTATTGACCGCTGCCCATTGTGTCCACGGAAAAAGCATACGTTTAATAAAAGTAAATTTACTTATAAAATATCCAATATATCCCATGTAATTAGCTATATTAGATATATCACATCAACTACAAAAAAAAAAAAAACAATTAAAATTGCAATGTAATAGGTATATCAAGGATCAGCTATAAGAAATAATTTTTTTCGAAATGTTAAAGTGGCTTACATACACAAAACTTATGACCCAGAATCAAAGATTGTAAGAGGAGACATTAGTTTGTTTAAAGTAAGTGAACTTATTTTTTTAATTAAATTAACAATATTACTGCTTATTTGTACTTGACCATTCGCATATTATATATTGCAGATATATGTTTAATCGCTGTCCTAAATTTATGCTCACTTGAATAAAATTTTCTGTAAAGCCATACAATTGCTAAGATTCTTCTTTATGGAATCTATGAATTTCAAGCTGTCTAGTCCCATTAAAAGTTCTTGTTTTTTAGTTTACACATTGCCTATATATTTGTGCAGTTGTAATTTGGTGCCCAAGAACCACGAGACACAGCTACAAATTTTTACGAGTTTACGCAAATTTCTAAAGTGTGCATCTTTCAGATTATAGATTAGCGTTAACTACTTTACCACGTAGGCCTAACCACAATGGCACAAACTTTATTTTAGAATCCTAGTTTTTAATTCACATAGTGACTTTCTTTTTTTCTGTGAATCATTTAAAGATAAGTATTGTATACAAGGAACCATCGTTCCTATTGAATGATTTGAATGACTTAACCAGTACCTACTATTTTAGTTATATCATTTTATATTCTTTTGCTTCAAGATTAACATCTAGATTTGTATGGGGGTTATGGGGCCCTTTCCGTTTCAAAATAATAAATATTATTTAGGAAATCAATTTTATTCTCCATTTATTTTTTTTTTTTTATTGTTCGTACATAACTAACCACCGACCGCCCTTTATTATAATTAATTTAATATAAAGATTCATCAAAACAGTTAAAATAACATTGATTCATTAATGCGTACACGGCGTATTTATTACACGTCATAATATCCCTCTACTATTTGATAACTTCTGGTTGCATTCTTTCACTAAATGCTTGCATCCCTCTTTTGAAAAAAAAAAAATGTATTAATATTTTACAAATTGTTTATTATTATATTTATTATTTATTATCTACAATATAATAAATAAATTTTCTATTGTAAATTATACCATGATATATACAAGATACATTATTATTAACTATTTATTTAAATAGCTAGATGGCTCATTCCCGAATGTAAATAAATATATAGATATTGGTGGCAAGCCTGAAGAATTTGCCAATCATACGGCCTTGACATGTACATGTATTGGATTTGGTAGGACAGATAGTTCTGGTGGTGAGGGCGACATAGGATACATGATAAAAACTAAAATTAGACATGGTCAATTTGATTGTAAAATGTACCAAAGGTAGATAAAAATAAACAATAAACACTAATAAATTAGTTAATATTTATTGAATTTATGATTTGTTGATATAGTTTTATAATAAAAGACACATGGCCACAATATTTGTGTTCAGAACCGACGACACCGAATTACATAAAAATGTCCTGTGTGGGAGACAGCGGTGGTCCAGTTATTTGCAACAACAAGCTTTATGGAGTATGTAGTTTTTATTTAAACTACAATAGAAGTGATTTGGCATGTGGAGTACCTTACATGCAGGATGTGCAGACGTTCGTAAATTATTTTTCAACATGGATAAATGATACAATGTACCCGGAGAGAAAAAAGAAAAGAGAAGAAGACAAGAAAAAGGAAGAGGAGAAAAAAGAAGAAGAGGAAAAGGAAAAGAAGAAAAAGAAAAAGAAGAAAAAGAAAAAAAAGAAAGAGAAAAAAAATTATGGGAATTTGATTAAACCACACCATTTATTCCTCACATCTTTAACGATATTATTATATTGTGTATTGACTATTATTTGAAATTAACAGTAATTACAATAGTTTTTGTTTCATTAGGTTAAGATTATGTAATAATTTAAAATGTCAATAACTCGATTAATTTATGATTGAGAAGTATAAACCAGGGCCATAGATGAATAATTTTTTAAGATTTAAATTTAAGGGTAGAACCCTTTAACCTAATCTAAGAGATTATTAGGTACTGTTATTATCATACATTCCGAACGTTCATTATCAAATATTGTTAAAATAATTAATACTTACAATCATTAGGTTTTGTACAAAAGAAAACCGATGATAAAGTTAGTAAGAAAATAATTTAAAATTCAGAGACATTACTAATTTACACTAATTCGGTACAAATTGGTTTCCCAAAAATTTAGTTTTTTTTTTTTTAGTTAGTTTTTAGTATGATAATTTATTACTAATAGGTTATACTGTTCAGTGGCGTCTAACCTATACATGAACTAAAGCGATCTCTTTATTTTATAATAAAGAGGGTGGATGGTTTTATTTGTATATTTTTGTTTTTATACTACATAATACATATACTAAATAATTAAATAAATAACTAAAAGATCAACTGGAAAATAATATGTAAAAATCCTCAGTGGGAGGTGGGTGTGTGAATATTTTGATTTTATTTCACTTAAATTTATATGACTCGGCGCCACTTAATACTGATACAGTTATAAGTATATAAAATAGAACTTATACTACGTTTCTGGTGTACTTAAAGTTAAAATACTATTTGTTGATACCTAATATGATTATGTCAAGTGAGCAGTGACAATTTCCTGATGAGACGATTCAAAAACTACAATAAATTGATAAGATTTAACTCTAAATTATTAATTGTTATCTACAAAATTTAATTAATAGATACCTGTATTTGTGGATATTGATGGTTCTGGCCGTATATAATTATTTTCTGGTATAACAATACTTTTTAAATAATTGTTTGTAAAAAGTCTTTATCTGAAAAATGAGCCCCACAAACTCTATATGACAGTAAACATAAGTCAATTCTATAAGCTTTTAACCATAACTTTTTGCAACTTTCATCCTTATGAAAACCGAAAGAAAGTGGATAATACTATCATAATTTAAATATTGGTAACTAATAAAAGAAAAAAAGTAGTAAAACGTATATTTAAATAATATATTCTTAAAAAAACGAAGGTATATATAATAAATACGAGGAAACTATTATTACCTATATTAAATATGATAATTTTATTTGCGAATAAAATAATTGTTCACTATTCTTGTCATAAGCATTGCAAATTACACACTTTCAAGGCATCTCAATACAAACCTGAAGGCTGAAACCAAGTATAAACAATAAACTTTAGGTATCGTAAAACAAATACCTAAAAGGCTAAAACCTGGTGGTTAATAAAAATACAATGCACAAAATTGACAAATCTCAAACGGCAAAATAATTGAAAATTTGAAATAGGAAGATATTATCATATTTGTCAGTACGCAATGTGTGTATTTATTTAATTTACTATTTAATATTCATAAGACGCACGGAAAAATTAAAAAATTATAATACAATACCACAGTTCTTGTGCGCATGTACGGTATGTAATGTACTACCTTGATCAGTGTCGTCAATTGTGGTATAAGGTCTATGGTTGTTTTTGTGATTAGTGTTATCTTTCCCGCCTTTTTAAACAAGTTACAAGTCAACAATTCTTAACATTACTTAGAAGCCGACAGCCGGCCTACAAGGCTTCAACACAGTCCATTCTGCAATGTTTACATGTTGATACTGAAATACATGGCGCTACATAAAAATGTTATTCTTCAAAATTAATTTTTTTCAACTTTGAGTAATTTTATTCCTGGTATAAATTGGTTTTTGTAGATAAACTTTCATTAAATCGTATTTTGATTGTAAAAAACACGTCCTATAATATTAAGTATTTACCTGCTCAAAGTCACTTGTATAAATTTATTGTTTAAACCGTAATTTTGAAATGGAAGTCGATAACCCAGAAGAAAATACCTCGATCACGGCTGCAATAGATCCCATGGAAGGACCGTCGACCACCAAAAACGACGAACTAACCACTGCGACTTCTCAAACAAAAATTGTTAAAAGTGACTTAAATATGCCATGGTAAGTACATTAACATGATACCTACTGGAAAACCTAGTATCTATCTGTATTTCATAGAATTTTCATTACTTGTGTTGTATGAAATTTAGGATAGAAAAATATCGTCCAAAATCATTTTCAGACATTGTGGGAAATGAAGAAACCGTTTTGCGATTGGAAAAGTTTTCTATGTGTGGAAATGTACCAAACATAATTATTGCTGTAAGTTTGTAGAGTATTTAATACACTTTTTTATATTGTATTAATTTTAAATTATGGTTTAAAGGGTCCTCCTGGTGTTGGTAAAACAACAACGATATTGGCTTTGGCTAGAATACTTCTAGGTAGTGCATTTAAAGAAGCTGTATTAGAATTAAATGCGTCCAGTGACCGTGGTATTGAAACAGTACGAAATAAAATTAAAATGTTTGCCCAGCAAAAAGTTACATTACCCCCGGGTAGACATAAAATAATTATTTTAGACGAAGCCGATAGGTAACTAAATACTTAGTAAAAATATTATTCATCTATTGAGTAGCCCTATTAGTATCATAATATTATCTGTTTTTAGTATGACTGATGGAGCTCAGCAAGCACTTAGGCGCACTATGGAATTATGGAGTAATACAACAAGATTTGCTCTGGCCTGTAACAATAGTGACAAAATTATTGAAGCAATTCAGTCTCGTTGTGCCATGTTACGATATGGAAAGCTTTCTGATCAAGAAGTTATGACACAGATTCTTAAAGTCTGCAAATCTGAAGAGGTAATTTTATAATAGGTTTAAGACATTATATTAATTATAAGTTGGTATATGTATATTGATATCTGCATACAGGTTTCATTCAGTGCTGATGGTTTAGAAGCTGTTGTATTTACTGCTCAAGGTGATATGCGACAGGCATTGAACAACTTACAATCCACATGGAATGGTTTTAGGCATGTTAATAGTGCAAATGTATTCAAAGTTTGTGACGAACCACATCCCCTACTTGTTAAAGAAATGTTGTTGGAATGTGCAGATCAAAATATTTCTAAGGCTTACAAAGTAATAAAAAATATTTAAGTATTACAAAGCAAAAATTTTTTGCATAAAATTAATTTGATATCATTTATTTTTTTATAGATAATGGCCCATTTATGGAAACTCGGTTATGCACCAGAGGATATTATTTCTAACATATTTAGAGTTGCTAAACATTTGGAAATCAAGGAATCCTTAAAATTAAAATTTATACAGGTATTAAAATTTTAAATTGATCAATTTCAATTTGTAATAAATAAAGCATTTGGTAATAATTTATATCACAGTGGCATATATAGAGGTGGCCCCCTAGACCTAGGCCCTTAGTAAAATTTCAGATTCAATCAAAACACTTTATTATGCATTTTGCTTTATTTAAATATAGGTATATCATATTACATAATCATCAACTATGACCCGTATCCACATTGTTTTTAAGGTATAACATTTTATGTTACTGATACCATGGTCCATGATTGCAATGACCAATTAAAACTTTTTAAAACTTTAGAAAATGCATAATTTGCTATAAATATAATGTAATAATAAATATGTATTTATAAATTTAAATTCCTTTATTTGCCATTGTTTGTGTCATAATTAAAACCACCCAGACCAGGCCACCTAAAAAATGTTCCAGTTGCATGTGCAATCTTGTTGGTGGTAAATAATTAGCCCATAGTGAAAATAATTCCTATATATGCCACTGTTATATCACATTATATTGTAATTGAGTAGTTTGATGACAACGCTAATAAGAGGTCATATTATTCTTCAGTTGATTTATTTAAAATTGTTTATTGTTCTAATAATTATGAAAAAGAATTTAAACTTTTATAAACGGTATTTATGTACTGGTTAAATATTAGCTGATAAATTTATTTTTGTGTTTGAATATTTATAATTTTAACATTAATAACTCTAAATCTATTCAATTTTTGATATATTGAATAACTATTATCTTAAACTCGAAACTTAAAATATCTAATAATTATAAAAAAAATTTCATATTTCAGGAAATTGGAATGGTTCATATACGAATTGTTGAAGGAATGAACTCCCTACTTCAATTATCAGCATTATTAGCTAAGTTATGCACTGTAGCTGCCGTAACAGAAAATTAAATAAATTTGATTTTCCTAATATCAATTTTCTATATTATTATTTCAGTGTAAAATAATAAAACTAATAGTTATAGACATTTTTAATATTTGAAAGTATGGTAGAATTCATTTTACAGAAGTTTTACAATATTTAAATCTCAAAAACAATAAAATCTACTTTTAGAAACTTAGGTATTAAATACAAAAGCCTAATTTGATTGTTTCAGTAAAATTATTGATTTTTAATTGTTTCTATCTCAATACTGATAAATGTGTTCTATACTTTATACACAATTATACAGCTAAATTGTTTTTATTTTTATATTATTTATCAATACACTATAAACCACTATTTTTTTGTTAGTTTTAAAAATCACTGTCATTTTGAATTTAAACAGTCCAGATATAAAAATTATCATAAGTGGAGGTCATTCGTAACCTAAATTACAAATATATTAAATTTAATATTTTATTCAGCCTTTTACATTTTTATAAATTCAATTGTATATTAACTTATTCTTCGTAGCAAGTATTTAATAATCAGAATATCAACTAAAAAATAAAGTTAACTTTAATTTATATGATTAACTTATTACACATATGATAAAAAATTATACTTTATAAATACATTCATATTTATTTTTATACTTCTGTTAATTAAAATAAAATCCACATTAATTTTAAAAAAGAAATGTAATACTTTTATAAAAGCTATTAGAATAACAAATTATTTAAGATACATTCTTATATAAATGTATGTTAATAAAATATACTTATTTTAATTTTTTGTAGTACCAAATACTTGTAAAAAAAAAACTGATAAACATAAAATATTAGTTAAAATATACTTGAGTAAATTGAGAATACACAAATGTAAATAAGACTTAATTTCAATGTGTATAATTTAAAGTTGTTAAATAATTAAAAAATATAATATTTTTGAAATCTGTAATATTTCGAAATTGGTTTTTGTTTGATTTACTAAGAGTAGTTTGAAATGATAGCTGACGATCATCATCAGATACACATATGTTCATCATTAACAAATGGTCTAATAACTGCAGCAATTTAGATGATGGCCATTCTTTAGAAATATCTTTTACATTTTCTGATTTTACTATTTTATTTGTTTGAGTAGAAGGAATTGTTGGGTAATTTGGATCAGACTCAATTTGTTCAAACAATTCTTGAACTAACTTTTGATTTCCAGGGTTAAGTTGCATAGTAGTTGCAGTGAGTACAGTGATAACAGTTGACATGGCGATCATATGTTTCATTTTCTGACGTACAATTTTCCTTCGGTACAACTAATAAGTAATGACATAATAAATTAATTAAATAAAATGATTTATATTTGAAAAATCTCAACTAACCTTTCTTATTTTTTGTACAACTGATGAGATCAACAGGAACATTTTCAACAGTACACAGTTGGATTTCTTGATATTACTATGTAGTTGATTAACTATTTCTTTATGTCTATTTGTAAACTCTTCATCACTTATAAAAAATTCCCAGTTCTACATAAATATTTTTTTTAAATATATTAAATTTTTGCTAACAAAATTAAACTTTATGAACTAAATTGTAATTACTAAATTAATAAGATTTAATATTTTTTATAAATATAATAACATAAAATATTTAATCTATATAATATTCACTATCATATACAGTATATCAAATTAAAATAAATTTTGCTGGTATGATAAGTATTAATTAGGGATTTTTATAATTTAAAAGTCTTACCATTGCTGATAAATAATCTTTTTCCATTTGATTGATAGTTTTTAGACTAATACCATAAGCTATAGCCCATTCACTATTAATTGCTGAATCTAGTTCACCATCATCATGAAGATATTTACTTGCAACTAACTATAAATAACAAATGTTTATAAATAAATTTAAAATGAACAATAATAATTTAATTTATTGTTTAATTTACCAAAGATATAAGAAATAATTCAGATGAGTTAATAGTTTTCAAATAGTTAGGATTTGATACTTTAAGTCGTTCAAAATACATTATAGCCAATACAAATGAACATGTATAAACATATGGTGATTCATCTTCACCATCAGTGTAATAATCAAAATCTTCAAATTTTGATATCAATTTCCCTGTTTTGAGTTCCTGAGCTAATTCTGTGAATAAACAAAGTGAAATATAAAACAATTGAATATTATTAAAATGTAAATTTCACATAATTTTATGAAATAAATTCAAATATAATCTCTCACTAAGATGGATAAGAAATGTTTATATTTCAGTTGAATACATCCAATCTTAATCAATGTACAGAAAATTAAGAATAAATTATAAATATACCATTAAATCATTATTTTGTTACTATTAGAATTTGGTATTCTAATTAAATTCTAAAAAAATAATGTATATAAATAATCAAAATATATTTATGTAAAACTCGAATTACATTTTATATTGTATAACTAATATGTCAACACTAAACTAAAACACTTAACACAAAATTGAAAATATGTGTAGATATCTAATACATATAAGGTATACATTCACTTAATGTCCATAATACAATATAACATTATGATCGAATAATTTATCTCATACCAGATAATGGCAGGCGTCCTAATGTGGAGTTAAGCGGGAGTCTATTAAAACTGTCGCAACTAAGTGCTGAAGTAAACTTTGACAGGAACAAATCATGATCCTGTTCGTTGTCCAACTTCTGAAACGTTAAAAAAAATGTAAAACGTAAGGCATTGTTGTAATAATATTAATTTCTCAGACCGATAAGCACTTGCCTTAGCGTTTGGAAGTTTCATTCTATTGCGAGTTTTCAAACAGTACTTCGACGACGTCATGGTCTCGTTTGTTTTTCGAAAACGGTTTAATGATAAATATTAAAATACCGCTGTATTATTACGATCGAATGTTAAATTAAACTGTAACTATCAACTCCGATGTTAGCACTTAACAGCTAAAGTAGGTCGTGTTAAACGAAGATCAGCATCAGAGATAGAGAGAAAAAAACCGAAATAATATTATTATTATCATAGAACTGTACACCTAAACATAAACAATTTGTTGCTGTAGAATTCCTTTTCAAGCCCGACGAAAGGTTTATCACGTATATCAATGAATGATAATCACGTTTTTATACATTATTGTGTGCACAAATCATACATAATGCTACTCTGAATTGTAGCGGCCTCTAGTCGATAATATAAATAACGTTAAAAGTCGAAATAGTAGACCCTCGTTCTCCTTTATTGTGAGTACATCAGCACAGTCATTGTATATTACTTATATATTATATTCTGAGTAACTATAAAGATACTTTCACTAATATCTGTTATGAAGGAGAGTATGAGTAATTGAATTCGTTCGATGTTGTTACAAAACTATATAATTTATCCCTACTCCATAGTGTGGGAGTGAAACTGGGGAGGTCAGAAGAACCAAATACTATATATCATGTAAATAATAAGTAAAAACACAACCGTTCAAAATATTCAAGTGCTAATCTACGATGGCCCAATAAATTACAGATTATTCATTAACTCACAATAAGTATATTAGAATACTTAAATATAATAAAACATGTACAAAAAAGTCATTCATCCTCAACAGACAACAACTTTTCTACCTACGAATAGGTTAAGTTAGGTTTTTGGTTATTTTTATCCCATCCATCTATCATGTATTATTTTTTATGAGTACACGATAAGTGGTCGATAAAATGCTTTAATTTTCGAAAATGGGGATGGTTTTAGTTATCAAATTAAAACTTGTTTGTATTAACGAAGAAGTTAAACTTAAAAATTAATTGTACTTATTTTTATAATAGAGAATAACTAAAAAAAATAAAGAAAATAGGGAATTTTTGCGCAAAATCTTAATTTAATAAAATTGATTTTGTTTTTTTAATTTAACTCGAAATCGAATAACCGTAGATACTTGAAATTTTCGCAAAATCTTTATATTACTGTTTTCTATTAACGATAATATTTTCAAAATATTTCGACTGTTTTAAAGCTTTTTATGTGTATTATAAATAAAAATTATTTGCTAGGTCAAAATATTTTCTATTTCCAATAAAATATAGTTCTCCATCTAAATGAATTGAAAATAGATTATGTTTAACTTTAAGAAAATGTTAAACGCTGATTCTAATCTTTTTTCTGTTTACTAAAAAAAAAATAAAAGTTATTATCACACTATCACTTTAAAACACTAACTAAAAAATAATTATTATAACTTTAAAATATAAGATATCTTAGTTTCGTATATATCTTACTATCTTAAGTCTTATCACAGTTCATCGCATGGAAATAATGTGTGGTTCTTATTAATTTTATTTTTTTATTCTATTTTCTTGTTAGTTAATTCCTTACTATCAATAGCTTACAAAATTTATTTTTGTGTGTATTGAAATATTTGTTTTAAGATTTATTATAATAATATTGCATTTAATATTGAATATTTTAAAAATAAAATCACAAACATGGCTGTAGATATGGACTTGAAAAATGTAAGTAAAACCATTAGTTATTTTGTTACTATTCAATATTAAAATTTCTTATTTCTTATAGCGCATATGTTATCAAATAAATCATCAAATAGGCCGTCAGTTAACAATTAGCATCATTTGTATAAATAAAAAAGTTGTTATATAATAGGTACCTATGATTCAATATCCATAATAACCAAAATTTCTGTTAAAATAAATGCTAAGTTTCTATGTTTTTATCTATTGTTAAATAAATAGTGTAGGTATAGCAAATAAGTTTAATTTGTTGTATAGTAGAATTTTCATATAACGGTCATCGAAGGGACCGTTAATAATGATCACTATTTAGAGGTGCTTGTCCTACAAAAGTGACTGGTAACAAAAATTCTATACATTTCAAGTGACTACTATAAAGAGGTTATGTAAATTTTAAAAATAAAATACCAAATAAATAATGCTTATAAATATGGGTACTAAAAAAATGTATTTATGATTTACAAAATAATGTAAGTACAATTTAACATTTTTAAACACAATTTTGTTTATTGATTTGCTGACGTTATCTATTTGTTTAAAATTTTATCATTGATGTTGTTAGTTTATAATTTACTTATTTATATTGACATAAAACTAAAAAATAAAATAAAATAAATTATGAGTATTGCAATCATGAATTAATCAAATTGATAATTTTATTTAAATCAATATTTCTAATGATAAATCAGTAGCTTAAACAGAAAACTCTATATATGATAGTTTTGTTGGATACATTGATTAATAGTTTACAATTGATTACATTACTGTATTAAAGCACATAATAATTATTGTAAATTGTGTGATGATTTCAGGCATTCAAAGAACTTCATGAAAAATTATTATATGCATCTCAAAAAATAAAATTGGCTGATTTGCAAATTGATACACTTCGTCGTACTAAGCAACATAATATTCTTACTAAGCAAGAACTAGAGGTATTCATATTTATAAATATGTAACATTCATATTGTAATTAGTATTTATATTATTTATTCATGTGTATAAGAATAAAATTGTACTTTTAACTGTTCGCTTTCATTATGTTTTTCAAAAAAACATAATTTTTTAATTATTTTAAATAATGTAATCCATAATTATTAATAATTGTTAAGTTACTAAGCATTTACTATTAGTCATTGCTTAAAAAGTTTTTTTTTTTCATATTTATAGAAAATACCAAAAGATGTGAAGACATATGAAGCTTTGGGTCGCGCATTTGTTTTAACACCAAGAGATGATGTATTTAAAAACTTAGATAAAGTTAACAGTGATACCGAACAAAAAATTACTGTTTTAGAAGTAAGTTTAATTTTAAATTTAAAAAATAAAACATAATTTACTCATTAATTTAATTTATTGTAGAATACTAAACAATATTTGGAAGGAAATTTGAAAGAGAGTGAGAATAATTTACGTGAAATGGTACAACGCAAAAGGGATGTTGGCGGTGATAAGGAAAATCAACCAGGCAGTTCTAAAGATTAAAATAATTTAAATTTGACTTTTTTTTAAATTCTAATTTATTAAATTAACTCCACAATTGATATTTTTTGTTTTATAACACCATAATTTTTAATAATACATTTGTTTACTTATCTGGCTACTTAGAAAAAAACCAATTTATGATATTATTTGTAATAAAATCATTATAACACTATTTTTTTTAAATTTTTAGTTAAAAAAATGGGAAGTTACTTTGCTGACTTGCTATTGTAGACTATATAGAAACATGTATGCTTGTTATTGAGTAGGTTGCTATAATTGATTTGATACTACAACTATGGGGTGCGGCAAAAAAATCAAATATTAACAGAATCCAAACATTCCAAAACATTTCGCTCCGACGTTTATCCATTCTCCCCCCTATATCTCTAATCTAGCCCTTCATAACGATCTCTGTATGAGAACAATAGAAGCGGAAGCACGCATTTTCTATACACGTTTCCATAAACGACTTCAAACCCATACAAATCCTCTTATAAAAGACCTTTCTATCCTCACACTCCCAGGAAACCCTAACCGTAGGTTAAAAAGGAAGTGGTGCCGTGACCTCTTACAAAACTACAATGTCTAACTCTCTGAAAATATAACTAAACATTTAAAAAAAAATTATCATTAGCCAAGAACCACTAATGGGTGGTTGCTTATTCAAAACTATCATGTTCTATTACTCTTATCATATAAACCTATTGTGCTTAAATAGTATAGATTGTTTATACCAAAAAAAAAAAAAAAATTTAATGATGATGTCGGCTTTTATTTCTAATGATATTTCATAATAATTAATATTATTATTTGTATTTACTTTTTCCATTATTAATACAGTTAGTTGAATTTTTACTATTTTGGTATAAAATATAGAATAATAATTTATATTAATCTATAAAATAGACTTTTTTTTAAAGTACCATCAAAATAAGCATGCAAAAACACACATTTTGGAAAAAATAATTCCAAAATATCACTTGGAAGTTAGGAGCTAAACTCCATTTGTTTCAACATCATAATATATTATATATTATTATTATTTATATAATGAATTGTTATTAACTTTAAGTTCATACAGTTCCAATATAGTATAACACCTAAATAAGTTCATAGACATATAGTATAAATATTAAATAGCTTAAAAAAGTCTAAACATATTATTGAAAACTGTATTGGGTATAGAAAATATTAATGTGTTAAAATATTTATTTAAATATGAATATAAATGATGTATGAATATCATTAGTTTTGTAAAGAATACTTTTATTCAGATATTTTATAATATTGCATATTTTTTAATATTAAAAAAATTAAGTTTCAAATGTCTTTTAAAAAAAAATTGTACTTTAAAAAGTTGTTGGATAAACTCGTGAAGAATCTTATGATACATTTTCAGACTTTATAAATTAATTAAAAATTACTATAAAGCCAAAAATAAAATACGAAATATTTTTGCAAGATATATGGTTGTATCTTGTATGGTATTGTAATTTGTAAGTACTAAGTTGTAACTATTATAAAAACTTAAATAATTATTATATAGTTACTAGTTAGGTTAGGATGTAAGTCTAACCTATTATTATTAATAGGAAGAATACATGGCTAGATAGAATTTTGAATACGTTATTGTTTGGTTTACACCAATGACAGGGAGAATATAAATTTAACTTCTGAATACGCGCTAACGAGTCCCGCTCAAACATATTTTCAAAATTTCTACCGTTCTGAGTCGACGCGACGGTTCATCGATTTTAAAACCACCCCGCCACCACACCACCTATACACTCTGACGGCCGACGCCATATTAACTGACTACAGTATCGATGTTCGATAAAAATAAACGATTGTTGGTTATCGCTGCGTCAAGCTGTACGATTTTACCGTACAATACAACACAAATTTACCGTAGAGTGCGTAAGCAAATGAAACTATCGAATAAAGAGCCAAATCGATAGTTTAATTACGATTTTCACACCTCCGCGCTGGTCCCACAACCTTCCGATCGTCCAGCACCATAGATAGAGTCAAGAGTAGTGTACGCTGAATAGTCATAACTCAATTCTCATTACTTTTACGTTCAACGTTCATTAAGTCCGTTGTTACGGTTCATTCTCGTCACCGCTTTGAGTTGCTATCTTCACTTTACCTCTTTACTCTTTAGTCTTTACTACAGACAATCGTCGTAATGGCCAACCCAAAAGTATTTTTTGACATGACCGTCGATGGACAACCGGCCGGCAGAATCGTTATCGAAGTAAGTTATTCACACTGGTCCATGATAATTGATATTTACAATAATATAAATAATATTATTAACGGATAGGCACTACGTCTACATTTTGAGCAAAAAGAGTGTAGAGGAGCTGTTTATAAAAACACCTAGGTATATATATTACTATTTTAGTATATATAGGTATATGTATGAATGTATTTATATTTATATATAGGTACTATACAACTAATGTTGCTATAACGTATTTATATATAAAAAAAAAAAAATCGATTGGTTGGTTTTAGAAAAATTTTTATTACCGATAGCTTACAAATGTTTTTCAGGGGTAGATGTGACGTGAGCACAGCTCTTGAATTTATAACTCATAATCAAACATTTCGTCTTAAGTTGACATTGCGACAAAAATATTCAATGTTTCGTTTTTGTGAGAGAGAGAAAAGAGGGAATTATAATAAATTTTTGTTCTGCTCTTTTTTATGAAATTTTTAAGTAAAAACTATATTTTGTTCTGTATCTTCACTCCAGCGTCCCTCGTACACACTTTACAAATACTATCATAATTGCATTCTATTATAGTTTGCTGTTCATGTAAATGCCTTGTGAGTTATGAGGTACATATCACGTATGTACAAGCAATAATAAAGACCTTCCCCCCTCCTTTTTTTCCATTAACGTGAATCATGTCTCTCAGATGTTCAGAGTTAAGCATTTGTTTAGAAGGTTTTATCACTGAATAAATTTAATAATTGTATATTCTATGGCTTAACAATTACATTAATTCTGAGGAGTGTTTGGAAATATCTAATTCAAAATATTACATAGTATAATTTATGCACGTTTACCGTATATTGTGAACAATATGCCATAGATATAAATTTTTCAGTTGAAATGTTGTATTAGTTAAGAAACAATAGGTTAGGTTTGTTTTTTCAAACACTATTTCATAAGATAACTGTAACTGATCAATATTAAGTAAACACTACACTTATGTATTCTATCAACCTTACAATCATACAACAGCAAATGTATATTCAGTAGAACTAGTTGTGTGTTGTTAATTTTAATATTAGAGAAATTAACTTATTATCAATTTTAAATATTAAAGAATTGGCTTTTATCAATATTTTAATTTTCAACCAATATATAAGTATTGTAAATATTACAAGTTAAAAATGTTCATTTCTAGCTTAAAATAATGTTTCTACTAAATGCAAATTAGTACTATGTTGAGTGTTTGTTAAACGAAGACAACACATATAAGAGTAGTGTTTTCTTAAATATATTTATTAATTGATCTTAAGAGTGACAACTAAGCCACATAATCTGTTAGAAGGTATGTTCAGTTTAAGTTTTGTAGGATTTGTAGGGTTACGAAACAAATTGTATGTATGTGTGTGCCATGGATTAGTTGCTAAAAACTCAGGTAGTCAACCATTCAAGAGCTAGCAACACCAGCCAATGCTTGATCTCAGACCACATTAGTGACTGAAGCCAACCACCATGCCACACTAGGCCAACTAAACATAATTTATACCTACGTTATAAATGTGTTTAAACCAAAAAAGCTATGTACTGTTACAAAAAAGTGTATTTACTTACCTAATCAAAAGTTAATAGACTAAAGGTAATTTTATTTTAAAAATAAGTGATGACTGATGAGTCAATGTATTACATTATATCTAATAGTAAATGTTCAATAAAAGAAGTAATACAATATTGTTTTTGTTATTAAAAAAAAAAAAATATTAATTAATTTGACTGTTTAATTTGCTATTGTCTGACTGTTGAATTTACTAAAAATTTACATTCATTTTAATTATTTATGATTATATATTGTATTATATGTATTATATTAGTTTTTTTTGCTATAGTTACGAAAAGATGTTGTGCCAAAAACTGCTGAGAATTTCCGTGCCTTGTGTACTGGTGAAAAAGGTTATGGCTATAAAGGTAGTGTTTTCCACCGTGTCATCCCCAACTTTATGTGCCAAGGTGGTGACTTTACCAATCATAATGGTACTGGAGGCAAATCCATTTACGGTGCCAAGTTTGGCGATGAAAACTTTGCCCTAAAACATACTGGACCTGGTATGAATTTATAATGATTATTTTATTATAATTAAATAAGCTAATTTGTTATTATGTTATTGTAGGTATTTTATCAATGGCTAATGCTGGCCCAAATACAAATGGTAGTCAGTTTTTCATCACTACAGTTAAGACTGCATGGTTAGATGGTAAACATGTTGTTTTTGGATCTGTTACCGAGGGTATGGACGTTGTAAAAAAATTAGAGAGTTATGGAACTGATACAGGAGAGACCAAAAAGAAGGTTGTTGTAGCTAACTGTGGAGAACTTTAAGCATTTTTTACACATATTCTGTTACTAAACATTTTCAATTAAAAATATGCTGAATTTTATGTTAACTTAATTCATTAAATGAAACATTCCATCTTTTTTATTATATAATTAATTTTCTCTTATTTTCTTCTTATTATAATTATTTTTTATTTTACTCTTAATATGTATGAATATCTTGAATTGTTTAGAAAATTATAACAAGCTGATGATAATTTTTAGATGAAGAAAAAACATTAACAATTATTAATTAGTTCTCTTTTAAATTTTTTTTCATCTAGTGTTACAACAGTGGCTAAAAAAAAATAATAAATAGCATTTAAAGAACTGATGGTTAATTATTTTATCTTTCAATTATAAAATTAACCCCATAAAATATTCAAATATATCTATACAAATAAGTGTTTGCTTAATATTTAAATGAAAAATAATTAAGTATATACAAGCTAGTTATTATCAGAAGTATTTAAAAATAATTTAACAATTATTATAAATATACATTGTATAATCAATAAAATTAGTAATTAACAAGTTGTAATATAGTTTATATTACAAAATTATTAGTTATTACAACTGAGTATTCGGAGTTAAACTAAACAATATAAGTTAAAACAAAAAAAGAAAATAGAAAGAAATGAAGTCTAAAAATGTTAGTATTTCAACATGTCTTGTAATCTTTTATATTAATATTGGTATTTAGTTAAATTGTATGAAGTAATATTGTACATTTTATTTTACTTTTATCAAATCATACTTATTCATTGGTTCAATCACATAATTTTTTTAACGCTATTATTAATATCTTACCTACTTAAAATTATCTTTACAAAATATACTTCAGTCAATAATTATGAGTTAAAAAGTATGTTTTATATTTGTATGCATAGTAGGCTACAAAAATTATATTCATGTATAAATTTATAATACATTCTTTAAGATATGTAAAACAAAAATACACTTTCAATACTTATGCACTATTAAATATTACTATGCTCAATAAGAGATACTTTAAAGCAATAAAGGTATATGCTTATATTATTATTATATATAATTAAAGATACAAAAATACATGTGTGCTAAGTACTATAATTGGTATTTTTTACCATGCAATGTATTTCAAGTTATGAACATTCTGTTAATACATATCTTTAAAATTATAAATATTAATGTATATCAGGGTAGGGCGTTCTTTGAATAAAATTTTATCTAGATGATTATTTAGATAACATATTACACAACGCTGGCATCTATAACTTAAAAAAACTACATTATTTTAATAAATTATAATGTAATAAGTCTAATTAAACAAAAAAAATACAATATTTTGCAATAAATAAAAAATGCGTGTAATACATAAATATATCATTTATTTTAAAATTATTAATTCTTATTGACAGAATTTAAGTATCTATCTTTAAAAAATTTTAACGACAGCAGATTATAAATACTTGAATATTTACTATTCATATTGTCTAATGTCTAATTATCAATTCTCTGAATTGGTACACATACTTTTAAAAAAATACAAATTTATAATCTGTTATTTAAAATAATAAGTAATAGTTTACAAAAATTTTTTATTATTATGTCGAAGGTGTACATACTTATAGGAGAGCCTAAAAAGTAGTATGATAAAGTCTAATCGTGAATTTAAACAATTGGCCGGAGCACAATTGCTTTTTCTATCAATTCCAAGCAAAATCAAAAAAGATTCTTATTAATATTATAATATGGACAATGTTCATTCTGCAATTATACCGTAGTAGCATAAGGTACCTACCTATATATAAGTATTTACTTAGTTATTATCTTACTAAAATAAAGTACCGTACCTACCTACTTAGGAAAATTCTATACTTACAGCTATACTATTTGATTAAAAACAATATCGAACTCAAACTGGCGGTATCTATAACTATTTAAATCCCTTATGACAGTAATGAAACATAACTTGTGTTCCAATCGAATCAATTAATAAAATTTTAACATTGTGATGATTGAAGTTTAGTTTATTTTACCACATTATACATAGGAAACTTTCAAATAAATATGTTCTCATAATTTTATGCTCAAATTTATTTTAAAAATCAAACTTAGATCTTTAATAAGCCAACAATTTGGCTGATTTTTTTTTAATTATTGTGTTTGGTGAAGAAATCATTTCATTTTTAAACAAAAATAAAATTATTGATTTGTAGGACTTTCATTAATGATTTGAAAATAAAACTACTATTTTGATAATAATTTATCTTATCAGTATTAGGTAGGTACTTATTAATTTTAGTTAGTTAGTTTTTTCTTTTTAAATAATAAAGAATATAATTTTTTTATTTCATGTCTGAATAGTTATTAAAAAAGTATGTAAACAATTTTATTATAATGCACCAAAAAACAGTCAATATTTTTGTAAGTTCGTGTTGGACGTCAGGGCTCATTGAAATTTGAAAATAGGACGGAGGCCAAGTCAACTGACAACTTGTATTAAGTAATGACAATTGACGACATTGACGTTATTTGGAGTTTAAAAATACTAAAATTAGGCTATTTAGTATTTATCGACGTACGCAATACGCATCCGCACACTACAATGACCCCGCCTTGATGACCTGAAGAACCGGCGTTTTACGAATATCGTTACGATGAGTGCACGCAGTTGCCAGTCGCTAACGAGTTTCCATTCTCTTTGGATGTCATAGCGTCCGTGTGCTGCATAACCTCAAAACCGGACGAAAGTAACACAATGGCGTCCACCACGTTTCGCTTGTTCACCCGCCGACAATTCCAGTACTGCTCCACTCCGAATCACTCGTACACCGGAGGTCTTGCTTCATTCCTATTATATTCTACCAAATCAAAATCATCATCTGCCAAAATGAGTCTCCCGAAAGTTTTTTTCGATATGACCGCCGATGGTGAGCAATTGGGCCGCATCACGATCGAGGTAAGTGAAGTCGCCGCGAATTTTTCTTCTGATCTGGTCGTTTTTTATTTTGGTCTTTAGACGCCGAGTGAGAAAAACGCAAAAGTGCGTACAGATTTGTTTTCCGTTTATCCAGTGAGTTTCGTTGGGCTTCTCGTCGGATTTTATTTTTTCCCACACCTTAACTCTTAAATTTGACAATACACATTTTCATATTTTCCACGTTCTCGTATGCTTTGCCGCAACTTGAACGGTGCCTTGCCGCCTTGGTGACAACTGGAATACTGAAATATGCCATTGTTTTTTTTTCTTAAGTTCGATTTTGATAGAATGTCCGAACATTCTTGACACTAACGTTTGGAACGCGTCCAAAATACCTTGATCGTGAACTTGTATTTTCTCGTATTCCGTGACTACGAATGCAATGTCTGCATAGTACCTACCATTTTTATATTTCCTGTGATCTTCTCGTTTGAGCAACTAGAAACGTAATTTAAAGTTTGGACGTCCCGTAATTAGATAGGTCTGTAAACAATGGGAGAGATACGTGTGAATAATGATTTGAGGCCTTGGCTTTTTTTTTTTATGCGATCGGTAAACGAATATTTGTTGGCGACACAATAGTATGAGTTTATTCTCATTCAGTGTATTTTGTATGACTATAATCGAGAAATCAATTTCTCTGAGAATCTTAAATAAATCGACTTTGTGGACCTTTAATAGTGTTAAATTGTTATTTTAAGTTTTCTCGAGGAATTGTTCATCTTTTTTATCATATTATGCTCCTGCCATTAAAATGATGCTCCAGTCATTGTCAAATTTTTACAACTCTTTCTTAGGTAAAAATAATTTTATTTAACATGTTTACAATGTTATTTTTCATCTATTACATATTGTTCCATATACAAAAAAGAAATTACAATAATTTGGTTATTAATACTTAATCATTAAATACTAATTTTTTTCTTACTTTTTAGCTTCGCAGTGATGTTGTACCAAAAACAGCTGAAAATTTCCGTGCCTTGTGTACAGGCGAAAAAGGTTTTGGATATAAAGGAAGCATTTTCCACCGTGTCATTCCCAACTTCATGTGCCAAGGTGGAGATTTCACCAACCATAATGGCACTGGAGGAAAATCCATCTACGGAAACAAGTTTGAAGATGAGAATTTCACATTGAAGCACACCGGTCCTGGTGAGTTACTTTTAATTGTTTTCATCCTATTATAATTTCACTAGCTGTAACTCGTGTCAAGACTTATTGTACACAGATTATTTTACAATTACTGTAAATATTGTATATAAAGTTGTAATTGACCTTAGGAAATACTTTATAATTATATGTGAATATGTAAATCTATGTATACTCCATAAGGCAACTTTCATTACTTCCATCCTATGAAATAAGAAATTCCAACTACATGTCTATTTAAACATATCTTAATTTATACATTTTACATCAAATAATTTTCATTGATAAAAAAGATGCTAATCAGTGATAGAATTAGATGTAGCTGTTAAAAAGAAAAACTTGTTATAATAATATATTAGATAAAACTGAAGTCATTAGATAAATACTCAAAAAGTTGAAATGTTTCTCTTATTATTAATTTCAAATTGCTTTTTGAAAAATTAAAAAAAAATTATTAGTTTTTGGAAACACATATAAATCTGGTCTTAAGTTAAATGAACTATATATTTAACAAATTAAATGTATTTTAGGTATCCTGTCTATGGCCAATGCTGGAGCCAATACAAATGGTAGTCAATTTTTCATTACCACTGTTAAGACATCGTGGTTGGACACCAAACATGTTGTTTTTGGTGCTATTGTCGATGGTATGGATGTTGTCAAGAAAATCGAGTCCTATGGTACTCAAAGTGGCAAAACTACCAAAAAGATCACTGTCGCTAATTGTGGACAATTGAGTTAATTTTTTGTTTTACAATTAAATGTCAAACTTATCAAATATTTTGGAACAATAATAAATGTCAAATGTGTTTCTACTTAAAAATGTTTTATGCATTTATGTTTGGTATTCTGGATACACTAATTGATTAATAATACATTCTAAATAGTTAATAATGTATTTGGTTTTTATTCATGTTTTGTAAACCTTCCAAAATTCTTAATCCTGCCTATTTTAATGACTATTTATTTTTTTAATAAGTATTTTCTTTCATACTGAAAATATTCATCTAACTAATTATAATCTTACCACTGTTGAATTCAATTTAAATTGTTTTAAAACCTTGATGCTATCTAGTTGTGCAACTTTTAGTTAACTAGTCAATATCATATCTCGGGACAATTTAGCATTAATGAAGTGTATAATTTTCAACTGTTAATTTAGTTAAATAAAATTAATGAAACACTATTCAGAGAAAATTATGTAATCTCAAAAATAAAACAATCAAATCATTGAGTAATAATTCAGTGGCTGAAAAACTAAAATAATAGTTAACATAATGTTCTATACTCCATATACAATGAGTGATCTGTGATCCACCATAGATATTACTGCAAATCTTAACATGGTAAAACTGATCTCTATGTTACTTTGGAATGTGTATAATTAGGATGTTTTTTTTTTTGTTCAGAGTATGGAAAATTATAGCATGTAATATTAGTGAAAATTATGCTGAGATACTTAACGCTCATAAAGTTATTTTATGTGTTATAGTTTCTATTGTAATTTAATAAGATTATTGTAACATAAATTAACTAGATTACTTTAAGGAATTATTACAATATGTTATCTGTGTATAATCTTTATATTTTATCTGCTCAATATACTACACTAGATTTAAGAACAATTCTTTAACTATATCGTGAATTTAAGAGCACAAATCTTTAGTAAATGATTCTGATTAAAGTAAGTATAAGTTTATGCTATGTTACTTACAGCCACAATTATCTAGAAAATAGTTCTTTAAAAAAACAAAATAATATACTAAACCAAGTTAAATTAATATATTGAAAATTTTAAAGATTTAAATATTAAAAAAAAAAAGCAAACAATATATATTTTTTTTAGCTTTACAAGTCATTTAGGATTTTTGCTGCTGAAACTAATTCTTTCCATTTTCCTCTGTCCTTTGGCATATTCCAGTTAATTTCTTTTAATTGCATAAGTTCCATCATTATCTTCTGTACATTGTCCATCCACCTTCGACGTGGTCTTGTTCGTTCCATTTCTTCGCTTAAGACTCTTCAATAGTCTTCCATCTGTTCGCCAAACATGCCCCATCCATTCTAGTCTTGTGCTCCTAACGAACTGAACCACATTCTCTCTTTTAAACAGCGCTCTTAGTTTATTGTTTGACTTTATTTTTCATTTCTGTTCTTCCCGACTATAAATTTGGACATGTATTTTCCTTAGTAGCTTCTCTTCATCACCTTTCGTCGTTGCCCAAGTGGCACATGCATACGAAAAGATTGATCTCACATTTTCTTTTTTTTTTTTTTCATATTAATTTTGATCTAAATAGGTTTGCTAGAGCAAAGTAGCATTTGTTTATTTCTCCGTGCATTTTTTTTTGCTTGTTTAATATCACTCCTAAATATTAAAAATCTTTTATCTGTTCTATTTGGTTGTTTCCTATAGTTAGTCTCTTAGAGTTTCTAATTTTCTTGTCATTCTCATGTAGGTATTTCGTTTTTTTTCCGTGTTAATTCTTAGTCCGATACTTTCCCCTAATTTCATTATTTCCATCATACTCTTTTTCACTTCTTGTGTTTTTTCAATAATTACAATATCGTCCGCGTATACTAGAAAAAACAATGTATATATCAATATATGTACCTATCTTAAATATGAGGCGTTGTTGATGAATTATTGATTCCCTCACTCATACCCATCTAATTATCTATATCATCTTATATCGCGTTAAGTATTTACTAATTACCTACTCATTAAACATACTACACTGATGTCTGATTGTAACATGGATTTTCAATTAACTACAATTAATGACCAATTTTAGAAAAAAAGGTGAAATAGAATTTTAACTATGCAATACCTTGAATTGATTAAAAATGCAACAGTTTTTAAATTTATTGTGTATGACGAATCTTATTTGTTTTGACGAAAATGTCTATATCCTTTGATGACATGCTATTATATTAATAGGTATATAAGTAAGTATTCAATGTTAATTTACTTTTGAAAAACTGTATAAAGGTTTTGCCTATACAGCTATACTTCAAAATAAAAATTTATTGTACAAATTGAATAAAGTTATCCATTCTATTTTTTTACTAAAAACCATTATTGTTGAATTAAAACTCTTGATATGATGTTTAAAATATTTTTGTTTTTTAATTTCATGTTCAATTGGGTGTTATGCTCACGGAAAACTTGAAAATAATGGAAAATTTAAATTGGATTGTATAATATTCAGCCAATTCAGGTAAGCTTCAGAAAAAAATTAAAAATGCTGAAAAACTAAACAAAAATAATGATTACTTATTTCCTTCACCCTATCTCTAGGTGATCTTACATCAGTTATTTTTATTCTAAAATCTAAAATTTTTATTTTTATTGATAATTAAAATCTTTGCATTTCTATAATATCCCCGTGTAGTTCTCTTAGTATTTAATACTGAATTTTAATTTATACAGAAAAAATTATTTGTTAAAACAAATAAAATTTGTGATATTTATAGATCTTTGAAAAACTGCATTATTTTTACATGTTAGGTACTACAAAATATTAGTTATTTATTATGCTATTATTTATTTTAATTATTGTTTATGATTATTTAAAAGTTTTTATAACATTATATAGGTATACAAAAAATACCAGTACAAACACAAAAGAACTGATGGTGAAGTAATACATTTTTAATGCATTGGTAATGAGGATATTAATGACAAACAAGTACTAAATGTTTTTAAAAATATTAATAGTTTTAAACTTAAATAAAAAAAAAACCATAATTATTATAATCGTCGCTCTGATTTTAAAGTATTAAAAAAATTTTAAATCAAGTTCTATAACGTGCCATATCATTTGTAATGATATGCTCACATGCACATCATTGCATATTACATAATCATAAAATTCAAACAAATAAATTAACGGTCAAGTTGTCGCACACAGACTAAAACCCCATAAACATCCTTTCACCACTGTTGAAAGAAACGACTTATATTATATTATATGGTCACAAAGGGATTGACACATGATTTGTGGCAATGTGCTGCAAAGCGTGTGATAGAGTTTCGTGTGCCGCCAGAGACAAGGGATGGTCCAAAGCATAACTATTCAAAATTATCTAAAAATAAGAATAAAATTCAAATAACTATTATTTATTAATTAAATAATAAAATACTAAATTATTTTATTTGAGCTACATAATATATTGTATTGTTAAATATTTTGCTAAATTTTCAAATTTGAAGCTCTGATGGTTGTTATTTAACAATTTCCTTGTATATCAAGAAGGAATGTTACACATCTACACTAATATAATAGGTAAATACTTAAAAAATACTATATCATATAATTTTTTTTTTTTTTATCAGATAATACTTGAAACAAAAATGTGGGTATTTTTCATTTAATTTAAACAAACTGTATGAGAAATACAAAACAAATTATTATGTTTGTTAGAAAAAAATGGCAGAAAATTTTGAAAAATAGTATTAAAAATCTAAAATATTTCAAACATGCATAATTTATGTAACAATATAAAAAAAAATTGTATTTTGAATCCCTGTAGGTTATCATAAATTTATAGCTCACTTTGCTATTTATTTGTATCCTAAAATAATTAACAAAATAAATATTATACAACTTGAGCTATGGTTGTATATTTAAAATTATAATCTTTTTTTTTAAGTTTCTTATGAAAAATTATCATTATTTTTATTAAGTTTCCTTAACTAGAAAACAAAAATATATTTTTGCTTTAAATGTATTATGAAACAATTACTTTTTTCATACAATCAAAAATTATTACACACAGATTTAAAACTTATATCAATAAATGGTGAAGCAAAATTTTTTTATAAAAGATTCTACAACTGATTAAATGATCATCTGAAATCTAAATCAATTAATAAAAAACTTGGTCACTCCCACAATACTTGGCAATCCTCCAAGACGTTTGAAGCGTAAGTGGTGTTGCGATCTTTTAAATTAAATTAAATAACAAGCTAATAGAAAGTGTCATTAATGGGTAGCTTTTTTCTTCAAAAACTCATGACCTGTTAATTTTTATTGTATCTAATATAATTTGATACAGATTGATTATTATATACAAAAGTAAAAAAATTAGAACTTAAAATCAATCCAATAATTTATACCACTTGTACGGTTATCTACTTGAATAGATAATTATAAACACTGATCACATCATACAATAACTATTTTAATAAATATTAAATTTCAATAATTTTTTTTTTTTTTAATTTAGTTATTTTTTTATAATGTATCTCAAAATAATATTTACTATTAGCACTAAAAACTAAATATTTATCGGTAAAAACATTGGTTAATAATTAATTCATTTTCTGAAATATCAAAAAAATCCTACAATTTTAGAATCCAAAATTAATTGCAATTTTGTACAATAAATGTGGGTTATTCATATAATTAATTACTATATTATTAATTTTTGTATAAAAGTATGTTTATTAAATTAAATTGTACAATATATAAAAATAATAGGTAGTTCTATTACGCAGTTTTAAAATAAATAATGTTTGGACAAATATATTAATATTTTTTCAATAAACATCGCATACTATAAATTATAAAATTGTATTTCCTTATGACCTATATAGCTAAAGATTAAACACAAGTTTAAGGAATACAAATTGATTTAAAAAAAAAAAACTTATAGTATATAATATTATCTAATATACAATAATTGTTATATTTCTTATTACTTAAGACACAAGACAAATATTAGACACAAAATTCAGGTAAACAATAATAATATAATATCAAACTTGGATATTAAATTTATTATTTTAACATTAAGTCTAATAATAATAATTATAATTATAAATAAATAATGAAAAGTTTGTTGATAAAAAGAATAAAAATCTATTCATTCTTTAATGATTTAATCACAAACAAACAAAAGAGAAAACTTAATAAAGCTCATTACAATAGGAAAATTATTGTTGTTTAGTAAATATAGTTGTCTAAATTAAAAACAAAGTTAGAAACAATTAATTATCAATATTTTCTAATAATATTCTAGAATCTAGATTGTTTTTTACTATATAATTTGCAACCACTACAGTCCATGCATGACCATCAACTATTTTACAATATTTAACATATAAATCTGTTTTTGAATCATGGTTTACCAAAAGCATAGTGTTGTGCTGAGGCGTGCTTGCAAATTTCTAAAAAATATAAATTTAATTAATTATAACTCTGTGTGTTTATACACGTATATATTTACTGGTAATAATGTATCTTTTTCTTCAAATACATAGTGCATATCCTCATCAGCACTAGACATATCACCAAAACATTGGCTAAAAAAAAAATAAACACTAAATATATCAAAACCAGCTACACCGTCATTTCCGCCTGATACCATATAGTGTCCACCATGCCATCTCTGCACTTCAATATTTACTGAAAAAAAAATATATAAGTATATTATAATAAAAAACAATTGTATATATTTGATGTTTTATAATTACTGTTGATAGTTTACTTACCACCGAGAAATTCTAAGCCTGAGCATTCGTGGAAAAATTTAAACATGCAATCAGTCTTTAACATATTAACAATAAATAGAATTGAGTTAGGCAATTCTTTATTATCTACATGTTTGTATTGCCTAGAACAATAATAAATATAAATGTATACATACATGTATTATATATGTATCAATGTTTGAATTAACAACATTGGCTAACATTTACCTTTTGTTTAAAGGTCCTTTAATTTTCCAATTCATGCTATTAGAAAAAATTTCATTACTTAAAATGTCTACCATACATGGTTTGAAAAATCCTTCACACATTATAAATCCATCTCTAATGAATATATCACGAACAGCTTCTCTATACATATTATCTTGATACATTGGGTCTATAAAGACATCAAATGCTGTCTTAACCTGAAATATAAATTTGTACTTATAAATAATGAATTACAAACTTAACCACACTTTTCATCTCATTATTTATCAATATATATTTTCATTTAATAAAATAGACAAGTTAAATGATTTATGTTTAGTACATAATACATAAGGTGATTGTTTATTAGTTTACATTTATTTTGAAGTTTTTATTGTTTGGTAAATATTGTCTTTTTACTAGTAATTTGATATGATTGAAAAACAAAAAAAATAAAAATATTTTACTGTTTTTAAGAACATTAAAGATTTAATATTTAAAAGTGAGAGCATCTCTTTTTGTTCTAGATCTGTTAAGACTTTAAATTTTTTAAATAGTTTGTTCATTTTTAATTGATCCTTCATTTCATTTGTGCACATGGAATTTTTACAAGAGTAATAAGTTTCTTCGTTAAACAAAATTTATGCATGGCATAGAACACACTATCATATGTCTTAAAGTCGACAAAAATTTACTGTGTCTTATTAACTTCATAGATATAGATATCACTATAGTTTTTCTTTTTTCAATATTCTGGGACAAATTTCATGAATTATTATACATATTTTTTCACCACTTAACTTTCAATAATTCTGGTAATATCTGGTTCTGAATACATTCAGTATTTTAGACAATTGATTACTCTCATAGTTTGATATATTGTTGTTATCTACACTTTACTCGGCCATGTGCTCATTCCATTAATGCTGTGTTTCTCAACCGGTGTTCCGCGGCACACAAGTGTGTCTCGAACTAGCTTTAGGTGTACCACGACTGTGGTATATGCGTATAGTGTTATTGATTATTCATTTTCAATTAAATAATATATTAATAAAAATTATAATAATTAAAATAAAAATGCTTTTTTTTTGTTTGCTATTTATTATTTTATTTCTATAGTGTTCCGTCAAACTGTATAGTTTAAGAAATGCTCCGTAAGGGTAATAGTTTAGTTATATTTTAATTTTTTTTTCTCTAATTACTTTTTTTATTATGATACATTTTATAATATTTTTTAAATGTACAGTAAAGAATTTACTAACAAAGAATTTTAGTTCACACATTTTCGAATTTTCATGTGCATGTTAAACAATAATTGTTGTTTAGAATAATTAAATTAAAGTTGTTTTCAAAAATAAAAACCTAAAATATTATAAAAAATTGTAAGAAATATAATTTTTACATTTATGTTATTGCAATGACATTAAATTAAACAAGAAGTTAAAACTGAAATACTGAATGTAAATGCTTTGATACATCACCTAATGTACTTTTTTAAGCTACAAAAATTAATGTTTAAGTTTAAATTAATACTTAACTACTAATATTATACTTAAATTATTATATAAATACCCTATCAGGAGAAATTAAATGTGGTGTATAAATTGGAGATAGACATTTCACTGGATGGTCATACATTTCCCAAGACAGCTCATCACAATGGAACCAACCATTAATGGAAACACGAGAAAAGGCAGATGTATTTTCAGCCACCTATTGAATAAAACATAACATTAGATTGTTAGAATAATTATTTGAAATTAAAAACTTAATGCTCTACCTGGTGATATGTATATTTTTCAACAGGAAAAAAAATCATAGAATTAAATTCTGGATTAATATTTTTTACAATTTCTTTAGCACAATTCATGTTATCAACCGAATAAACATCTAATGTGCCACCCCATTCAGGAAGCCAATCATAGTTTAAATAATATATGAATGCCACAGATCTATCATCAACACGATCATCGTGACAGAGTAAGTAATCTAAATATACAAACAATAAAATTTTAATTTAAATATTATAATTTATTCAAAACAAAAAAAAATTACCTCCGCGATCATATTTAGAACAAGATGCACTAATCATACTATTAAATTTTTTTCCTAAGTATGTAGCAATATTTTGTTTTATTTCTTTTAGAAAAATTAAAAACTGTTCCACTTCCTTAGGTTTCTCAAGATTTGGGGAACGAATGAAGTCTGATGATTGAGAAAATGAATATAGATCACACGATTTTTTTTTAAACGTCATTTTTAATAACGCATCACGTAATTTAAATGCTTCAGTAGTTGATATTATACCCCTGCAGTCGAATTTAAACACATCAAATGGTGCATCTAGTTTTGTAACTAAGTCTAAAAAAAAAGGTCCATTAGTAAAATAAAAAAAATCTTACGTAAATATTAATATAAATTTGTACCAACCATTAAAACTGAAGCGAGGCGAGTTATTCATTATAGCCAAATTTGATAAAATAATAATCCAATTCAATGCTCGATTAATTTGAAGTCCGTGTTCATACCGCCGTCTGATGAATGACAATTGATTTGATAGAAAGAAGACACTAACAATCGCAGCCACAGGGACCGGTCACTGCCCATTGGTGTCTCAAAAAGTAAAACGAGAATAGAAATTGTTTCATGTTACAATTGAAACGTACTTAATACTTATTATAGTAATTGTTAATAAATCTTTTTCGAAATTCAAACATGTCAACTTATTTTCTAACATACTAAATGTTTAAGGTTATCTGTATATGGTTATCAATAGTAAAACTGTGATCGCTTGGAGAATAGTGCATTTATTTTGGCTGGCTAGTAGCTTATCACAATATTACCGCCAAAAAATAATCCGTAACTGTACCTCCAATCATGGTTCTTTGGTAGTGGTTAGTGGTATTACCCGCGGTATGCAAGGAATAGAATCAAATACATATATGTAAATACAGAGTGCGGTATAAGTCGGTTCCCCAATTAACACAACAAATTAAATATGTATATTGTATACTGATTCTAATTATAATAATAAATTAATTATTAATAACAATAATAAGCAGTTTTGCGATAACAAAACAGCGGGAACCGACTTATGCCGCACTCTGTATAACAACTTGTTTTAAATATCCGTGGAATCAATAGAATAGACTGGTACTCTGGTACACCGTTTTAGGCTATTATTTTTTAGAAAAGAACCTTTAAACTGTAAATTTAGTTAACTTGGACAAAGTATTAACCGGCAGTTAAATTCTACTAACTGCCAGTTAAAGTCAATTGAAAAACCAGCACTTAATCGATGTAATTTTATATACCTACCTGTTAAATGTATGCCTTATATTATTAAATCAGGCATCTGCTTGAGTTTTAATTAATTTTTTCTAGGTACCTAATTGTTTTGTAAACTGAACTCTTTTGAGTATATTTGTGTTGGTAAAAAATTACAAAGAATAATATGGGTAATGCACCTTATGCACCTGAATATTAATGGTTAACGAGAGAAAATTATGACGTAAGCAAAATGTTTTTCTTTTATCTTGTTTATTAGGTAGTATATTTATATATATATTAATTGTAGGTACACTTTAAAGTTTGTCTACTACACAACAATACAACATATTACATAAGTACTATAAAATCATAAACTATACCTAATTATTATTATATAAATTGTATTAATAATGTTAACTAATTGATTAACAATATATATTTTTAATTTCTATTATAACCATTAATAAATTAAATAATTATCAATGTATAATAATAATCTTTTTAATACAAAACAGAAATAATTAATTAATTTAACAATATGTAATTACTAAAAAAATAAATAAGGAAGTTGTTCTGCTAAAAAGTAGGTTTCAAGCATAACTTGTCATTGTGTAAATCACTATCATGAATTTAAATTTAACAATGAATTATTATACAAGTTAGTCTTTATTTATACTTATAGTTTCTAATGCCCCCGAAATCTAACGAGATACAACTAAATATACAAAATTTATTATCATAAATCACCTGAAAAATAACGATTTTTGTATCTTGTTTGTCTGTTTGTTTTATTTGAACAGTAGTTATTGTTATTTCATAATTTTAATGTTTACTAATATTTATATTTTTTGAATTAAATGTTTGTTTTTGACTTTTTGCTTGAACTTAACTTTATATTTTTACAATTTTATTTGTTATCACGGTCTTATCAAGCCTTATAATTCATTCATCAATTTGAAGTTCTGGATTTCATGCTTCAAATATTTATTAATTAACTTCATTTCTACAATGTCTAAACAGAATATGGAAGTGGAATTTTTGAAGTCTTATCCTCATCACAACATGTTAAGTTACTGTGAAAATAGGCCAAAATATAGACAAGGACGAAAACTTACAGCAATTAAGGTATTAAGATTGATGTCAAACCAAGAACCGTATCCTTGATTAAATTGGTCTATATTTTAAGATAATTTCTATGTTGAAATTTTTTTTTTTTTGTGTATATACAATTTACCAAATGATTATATTAGGTTATAATTTGAATTGTTTGATTCAATTGTATCGACATAAATTTAGAAACATTCAGAGATTTTTTGAACTTTAATTTTAAGTGTACAATATACTAGTAAATATTGTATTTACTTTCTATTTATAAAAAAAATTAACATTGAATATATAAATTCCTTAAACTTGAATATGGCTATAATGATAAGGTTTACACGGTGAACGATGAATCTCAACATTTGTTGATCAGAGGAGTGCCATCTGTCAATTTACATGATGAAGTAGAAAAATTATGCAAGCGTTATGGTAATGTATTAAGTATTCGACAAGTGCAATTTGAAGACCAAGAAGAATTTACTCATAGTTTTCATGTGATATTTATCCGGATACAATCTGCCAGGTTTAATTTTTTCATTCATAATTGTACAAAATTTTAACTTGCTAATATTATAGATTTGCAAAAAAACAAATGGATACAAAAAATTTCTTTGGTGGTATTTTACATGTTTGCTATGCACCTGAACTTGAATCCATTGAGCAAACTAGATCAAAATTACAGATGAGAATAATGGAAGTTAAAAAACATATTCATAAAATTGGCTTAGATCATACCTATAAGAAGTAAGTTTGATTTTAATTTTAAATTATTAAATTCAATTTAATGTTAATTTATAAATCATAACATGAATTGTATATTATTTCAATTAATTTTAAAATTCTATTATAAGATAACTATTTAAGTGAATCTCATAGAAAAAAAAAAATGCTTATTAATTTTTACTTTAATAACATCAAATATTATTGTTTTTATTTCTATATTATGTATTATTTTTTTTTTAGTGAATCATCTTCTGCATTATTACAACATGACCTTTCTACCTCATCTCACAATGTAATGATATTTAATTATTTTGTTTTATTTTTTTTATATAAATTTAATTAATGACTTGAATCTTTTATTTCTTAATTTTAGTTACAAAGTTGTAGTTCTAATTCTCAAAAACATAATCGTTGGCTTGAAGGAGGTCTTAAGTGTTCATATATTATACCAAAGACTGATCCTTTAAACACTAAAAAAGAAACTACAATAAATAAATCTGTAAGTATTTATTATCAAATAGCAATGAAAATAAATAGATAAATTATATTATAAATCAACAACCATCAACATTAGTATTACTCAACAGACAATTAAATTCCTGTAGTTTAATGTGAATGTATTTACATTATCTATTTTGAATTACTTTAATTGTGGTGATGTGCAAGTGGCTTTTGAACAATTAAATATATTATGTCATAACATATTTTTTATGATGAATAAGATTAATGTTAATCTCAATGTTAATATTTGTAAAAATTAATTAGTTGTATATTATGGATTTACTATGTTATTTTAATTCTTATTTATTTAGATATTGTAGGAATAAAATGTCAATTAATTATATTAGTTTTTATGTAATAATCTAAAATTACTCATATTTGTATTACTTTATTTCAGAATATCAAAGATTTGACTCCATTAGATTCGAGTATGCTGAGATTTGTTCCTAGACAATTAAATATAGCCCCTCCAGAATCCAAAATAAAGAAGCCTAATCGTATTATATTCCATTAATATATCGGTGATGGATAAATTTACAATGTATATTATGTATAGATTTTATTAATTTATTAATTTATTTAAATTAAGTAATTTAAATAAATATTGAGTTATATATGATGAAAATTCACATAAAATCTAATAAAAAATTAAAACTCCAGTTCAAATAGCTCAGTAGTGATATCTTCTATGATAAAAATACAATGAATCTTCTTGTTTTGGTTTTTGACATAATATAATAATAATAGTATTATTATATTATATATTTTTTATCTGATGGAGTATTTTTACAGCTTTTATTTTTTGGTAGTACAATAAAACCATACTATGTTTTTATAGTTTTTGAACTGTAGCAGTTATTCTTGTAAGAAGATAAAAAAAAAAATAGTAATTCTTATTAAAGGAATTTGTTATTGATTAGATTAATATTTTTTTAATTATGAATGTCAATTTTTATTTATTCTCTGACAGTATCTATTTAAAAATACAACCATCTTAATACTTTATTGGGACTTTATGAAGAAGGAAAGCTGTATTCGTACTACTAAAGTTGTATCTGAAATAATAGAGGACATGTAATATGTACATAAAAGTAATGAGAATGTTGAGTACTGTAGAAAAATTAATAATTTTTGTGTATGATTTGGTGTAAACAAAATTATGAAAGATGAGAGTGTACTCAAGAGTACTTGGATATAAGATGTTTAAATGCGGTAGTATGTTGATGGGTGAAAACCTGGACTTAATCTGAAATAAGTTAATGAGAGATTGTAAGATTTATTAAAAACACTTGAAAGAAAAGAACTAAGAATAAGCAAAAATAAAATATAGATAATTGTATATGATTGTAATTTGAGGAGAAAGTAATAAAATAGATAATGGAGTAAGGCACGTAATGAGGATTTGAATAATTTAGTGTTTAAGAATGATATGACTGATATGAGGAATAGGAATATGTATGGATGGATGAAGTAGAAAGAAGCATCAAGTATTTTGTGTGACAATAAGACACTATTAAGACTAAAGGTAGATTTTATAAATCAATAATGAGGCCATTCATGTTGTAAGGATAAGAATATTGGAAAGTTAACAATAAAATAGATAAATTGTGAGTGTAGCAAAAATAAGAATGCTGAGATGAATCTCTAGAGTAACTAGCAGAGAGGATAGAATAGGAAATGAATTCCTGGGGGCAGTGTAGAAGTGAGATAAATTGTAGATAAAAGTAAGGCAGCAAAAAGTTGTGATGGATAGTTCATGTTTTGAGGTGAGGTGATTTGGAGTTTAGGGGCAGTGATATTAATTATAGAAATAAATGAAAAAAAAGGATAAAACGATGACAATTTAAATAAAGAAGTGTGGGACAGAACCTATAAAAGTGCAGGATAAGGTTGGTTAGTTCCATATTGTTTGGAGTAAAGAATGAAGCAAACTAAGAAGAATAAGTACAATATTTTGTTCATCTAGAATGCACGGCCTTCTTCGTCTCCTTCCAAAGCTTGCTCTTAATCATGAGCACTATTAATCATAATTTATTATTTTTACGGTTCTGAAATTTTAAGTTAGGTGATCAAATAGCATTCTATAAACTAATATATGCTCACATGCATTCGTAATTTAAGTATCTGGCATAATATATCTTAAATTTTTATAATATCGTGATTGCAATTTAGTACAAATATTCATCCAAAGTATTGTATGCCATCAATATTATAGTATATATAGTATATATCTAACCACTAGATGGCACTATACAATTATGATTCAAATTTGAGTGTAATTAGAATATCTAATTTTCTCGCATGTGTTTGCACAAGTTTTTTATTTTTTTCGGAAATTGTTTCAAAAGTCGGTGCTTAGGAAAATTCGTGCGTTTATATTCGTTAAAATTAGATACAAAATTTTCACAACTTTCTTAAATATTTGTATTTTCTACTTAGGCCTTAGGATCTTAGCACTCGAATCATGGGTAAGTACCTAACAACATTTTAATATATTTAGAATATTGTACGGAAAACAGTCATATTTATTTAGCTTTGTTTGACCAGAACATCAGTATCGCATGTTTGATTATATTATGTGACATATAAGTAATTAGGTACTAGGTACTTAGTATCATCGATTAAAAAATTTTCCTGGTTTTCCGGAACATGCGACCAAAAAAAACAAATTATAAATTTAATGCATTTCACTTGGATATGTATTACGTATTATAATGCAATAAAATGAGAAAAAGTCGACAACTAGCTTTGATCAATCAATTTCTGTTCGTGAAGTGAACTAACTTAACCCCTAACTTTGTCCTGTCGACTTAAAAATACCATCAAATAATTGCCAATGAATTTCGTTACTTAATTAAAAATTTAGTTATTTTTTCATTGGGAGACCAAATTCACGAGTTTGAAAATTTCCACCGTGTTCTATTGACTTCAAAATATTACCAAGTGTATTAGCAATTCCAGTTAATGATTACCTACAGTATAATTATTTTGTAAATTATTACATTAGGTACCTATCTAAACTGTTATATGTTCGAATTCCATTCGGGTCATATCATTTGTGTTAAATAGGTGGTCCATTATGCATTAGGTGGATGCGAAGGGTTATAATATATATTTATATATATATATAATACGTTAAAGGTTTACCGATGTAACTGTGTAATCCCACTATAAACACGTGTCCTTCACCGATCTGGTCTTTGGTCACGTTCTCACACAAGCGAGTTTTAACGGCTTACCGCTCAGTGCCTGCGTTTTAATATTTTGTTTCGCGATATGGTACTTTGCACTGGTTGCTATACCCGTGAATTTTACTATCTCGAATCTAAATCCATGTCTTGTAGTCGAATTGCGGCAATGCAAATGCAGATTAACGACTATAATATGGTACCTATATTAAAATTATTTCAAAAACTGATATATTGTCATTTGATAATATGTAGTGGGTTAAACTATTTGCAGTAGGTATAGTGATTATTTAATAAATACTTATTTTTTAATTTTAATTTTTTTTTTTTATGGTAGATGAGGGTATACTAATTATTTTCATTGAAACAGTTATTTTATTAGTGAATTTATATGCATACCCTAGAATCCGAGTTAAAATTAATTAAATAGGTAGTTTTGGGAAATTGAATTTAAAAATGTATGCATCCAGTGGCTAGAACCCAGGTAGCTGAAAAGTGTGTATATAATAGTTACTCTTTATTATTATGATTTGTAAAGTTGATGTTAAGTTAACTGTTAGGAATAAAAATAAAAATTAGAAAAAAATTTAAATTTGACTTTAGTACCTATAAGTACAACACAATCAGTGTGTTATCACAATAATAATAGATTTTTAAGTTTAATCAATTTATATTTAATACTTTTATCTTAGATCTTATAATATGTTTAAATTTTGTTCTAGAAACGTGATAACGTTAAATGTACAAACCAATAAGGTGTAAATCATACAGCTGGGTACAAAAATGTATAAATCTATATATCACGAACTAACTTAATATCTTATAGTACCTAGATCATGCTGTATATTGATCAGATACATTAAATATAGATTTATGGACTTGAAGTATACTTATACACAATCATGAATTTTGAAGTATTTAGTATACACATTAGTACATTACATATAGGTAGGTAGATACCTAACTATTATAGACTATAGTAGGTATGTAATATGTGGCATTTAATGTTATAGTTATTTATGCGCCTACAAGGTTTGATATCACATTATTATAATGTATAGCTATTATACATAGTAATATATCGTTATGCCGTCATCAGTTATCACACGCGTGCATAATTCTCGATATTCCTTCGCGTTCCGCGCCTCATCGGATTAATCGCGTGGTTTTATTACATTACTCCCTAACACATTTCATCCGACCACTCTTATTGTATTATTATTATTATTATTATCGTTATTATTTTTTTATTATTATTTTGCGCACGCGCGTGTGTGTGTATGTAAGTTGCAGTGGGAAAAAACGCAGCCACCGTCGGCTGGCTGTCCGTCCCCTATATAATATTCTCGTGTAGGGTCGGCGTCGTTACTTTTGGGCTTTACGTGCGCGCGCGGCGGCGGTGCTCATTCTGTGCATTTTAAAACAATATGTCACGCGGGTGCGAGTATATAGTGTCGGCGGCGGTGGTTTTTACATCTCGGTGAAGGGCCGGTTGCCGCGATGGGTATATACCACCGTAGATGGACGTGAAGTGCGGACAAAGTGGCAATTGAAATCGTTTCCGCACCGTCCTACCCGCGTAGATCGTTCTCGCACCCATCGATTACGTATATATATATATATATATATATATACGGACGATATTATTATATATTAACACGCGCGCAATACGATCCCCTCGGCGAATTCAGTGCCACAACTGCAGTATATATATAGGTGTTTATCGGCGGGGGTGCAAGCATATTATTTTGTGCAGCCCAGAGAAAACATAATTTTTTAAGCAATCGGTTTAGTGGAGGTACTCGTGGTGGGTATCAAAAACACATTGGAACTGCAGGTACAAACAAAAATATGCAGTCAATAGACAAAATCGTAATAATAAACATTTTGATATATTTTTTAGTTTTAAATTAACCCGATCGGTTATGCCAACCATAACACTCACTCAATGGCCCAAATAGTGTGTATATACTACAAGCACCCCGCCGGTAATTCCAAAACTGCGTCTTAATGTACCTACTGTTTTTGGCTGCACTCTGAGAAGCGGCATAGGATATTTATAGTCTATAGTGTAGACTGTATACCCTCTATAGTTATTGTTCAAATGTATAAGTATACACTAAGAGTTTTTCAAGTTCTGATTTTTTATGCATAGGTATATATTGGTATATTAGGTATATATATACGGGCTATATTTTCAATTATTTAGATTCATACCAATTATAACACATGATAAGGAGCTAGTGTCTTATGGCAAATTTTATGTTACAAACTATTTTATTTTTTCTTCTAATGAGAATAAGAAATGTTTGCTGTAAATTATTAAGCAAATGATTTTTGAGAAGATAATTTTAACGTAGATACTTACTGTAAATTATTTTTCACTGTCAAG